TGACACCAATGATGGGGCACTATTCCTCCCACTGACACCAACGATGGGGCACTATTCCTCCCACTGACTCCAACGAGGGGGCACTATTCCTCCCACTGACACCAATGATGGGGCACTATTCCTCCCACTGACACCAACGATGGGGCACTATTCCTCCCACTGACACCAACGATGGGGCACTATTCCTCCCACTGATACCAACGATGGGGCACTATTCCTCCCACTGATACCAATGATGGGGCACTATTCCTCCCACTGATACCAACGATGGGGCACTATTCCTCCCACTGATACCAACGATGGGGCACTATTCCTCCCACTGACACCAACGATGGGGCACTATTCCTCCCACTGACACCAACGATGGGGCACTATTCCTCCCACTGACACCAACGATGGGGCACTATTCCTCCCACTGATACCAACGATGGGGCACTATTCCTCCCACTGATACCAACGATGGGGCACTATTCCTCCCACTGACACCAGTGATGGGGCACTATTCCTCCCACTGACACCAGTGATGGGGCACTATTCCTCCCACTGACACCAGTGATGGGGCACTATTCCTCCCACTGACACCAGTGATGGGGCACTATTCCTCCCACTGACACCAGTGATGGGGCACTATTCCTCCCACTGACACCAGTGATGGGGCACTATTCCTCCCACTGACATCAGTGATGGGGCACTATTCCTCCCACTGATACCAACGATGGGGCACTATGCATCCCACTGACATCAGTGATGGGGCACTATTCCTCCCACTGACACCAGTGATGGGGCACTATTCCTCCCACTGACACCAGTGATGGGGCACTATTCATCCCACTGACACCAATGATGGGGCACTATTCCTCCCACTGATACCAACGATGGGGCACTATTCCTCCCACTGATACCAACGATGGGGCACTATTCCTCCCACTGATACCAATGATGGGGCACTATTCATCCCACTGACATCAGTGATGGGGCACTACTCCTTCCACTGACACCAATGATGTGGCACTACTCCTCCCACTGCAAAATTACAGTTATGAAGTAGCAACAAAAACAATTTTATGGTTGGGGGTCACCACAACATGAGGAACTGTATTAAGGGGTCGCGGCATTAGAAAGGTTGAGAACCACTGCTCTAAAGCATTCATTTCATATTAAGAAAATCAGTGCAATATGACAGTCTCACTAACTGCCACTGGAAAAAAATGAGGGGGTTTCACTTAACTGGGAATCCTAGAAAAACAATTCAAATGAATTTTACAAATGTATCATGCCCTCAGATGATCTTTTTGGTGGATGGGCAGTGATCCTTTTTAGCCCCTAGATTGGTCACTTACATGTTGTATTTTTTTTTTTTCTTTTTAAATATACACATACAAAAGGTCAGCTTAATGTAAAAGACCTTATGTGTTATATCTTTAAAATCCTTGTTTGTGCATATATTATGCAATTATATGTTATATGTACAGTACATAGGTGTAGCCAAACTTACTTATTACACATACAAGCTCTGCTTTATGGCTGTATCTTGTGAATACTCTTATTTACTAATGAAAGAGTCCACGCAGGATTAGTGAATTGAAATTCATGGAGATCTGGTATGTAACATTTTCTTCCAGGAGAGGTCCAAATTGCATGTTTGTGCTATGACTCAAATCCTTCACATGACAGCTATCACAGTGCCCCCTTTACATCAGTGTTTTCAGTCCCCCTTCACATCACAGCCCCCTTAAAGTGTTACTAAACCCACAACAGTAAAATCAGTTTGTATATGCAGTAAATCATGCTTGTTATACTCACTGTGGAACCTAAGGGGTTAATCCTCTGCATTGTGTAAAAAGGCTGTTTATGTTGACCTCTCTGCTCCTCCTCTTGTTCAAATGTTCACGTCTTATCTCCTGATAAGACAGACTGAATCAGTAGCCACATGCACATGCTCAGTTTAGTGTGCATTGCTAGAGATGTTTTTTTTTTCTTTGGAGAGTGCATGTGATCAGCACAGGGCCAATCAGCACTGTCAAGACAAAGGTCAGGGGTTCTGCATCCTCCTAGAGCAGGAGGATGAAGGGGTCCTGCGAGACTCCAAAACGTTGCCTTGCTGTAACTATGTGATCGTTCATTAAAACTTTTGGCCCCATATTAGTGATCCTCGGTGTGCTGATGACATTCTGCCTTGCTGATTCTGATTGGTTCCAGCCAACGGTCACTGCAGCACCCACTTATACGCACAGCCATTTTTAACGCAGGAACGTGTGCGTTTGGATTGTACACTTGCATTCTAGTCTCCCAAAACGTCTCACATTTGGTATTCCCAAACTCAGGAGAAGTAAAAGAATATACTGTATGTTGGGGTTGCAAATACCAACCATGTGCTATCTCTTTAAATCTCTCATTACAAAAATAAATAAATATGATTGATATGTCTATTCATAGATACTATATAAGTCCATAATAGTGTGTACAGTCCATTTTCACAAATTCGGTGCTGTGCAAACAATAAAATGTCTTGTCCCTCCTTTGGGAGAAAAATTTGCTCACCTTGTGATTAGACCTACAAATCAATATACAGTAAGTGCGCTGTGTTAATCAGTGGTATTATTTCAAACCGTAATTGTAACAGTAGTGGTGTGAACCTCCTGCACTCACAAGTGTTTCAACTATATAAAAAACCAAGAGAAGCTGCTAACATTAAATCATATACCAGTGATTACCATAAATAAATACAATAGAAAATGTAGCGCTACTCCTTTAGGTACATACACATATATATATATATATATATATAACAAATGAATTAGTGATATGTGAACTCAAAATTACATCAAAAGATTGTGATAGTGATATCAAATAAAATTAATTTGTGCCCATTACTCAAAAAATCTACAAAGTTAATTCAGGTAGCCTAAAACAATACATTTTCTATTGTATTTATTGTTTCAAACCAACTCTTCCATCTGGCTCCAGAGATGTGGTAAATGCGCTCAAACAAAAAACATATATTTCAGAGTGCAACACTGTGTGAGTAACCTCAGTAAATGCACTTACATAGGTGTTGTTAAAACTGCTCATCCAACCAGATTATCTTGTTTTATAGATGGTGCCGATTCTCAAACAACACCTCCAAATGAGCTCAATACCCCATCACCCCTAGGTGCAATGCATGCTCACCTTCTCGTTAGACCCATATAATTATAGGTCACAAACACTTGATGTTCATCCAACTCAGTATATTAGCTTCCACCTCTTAGCAGCTACTTTACTCCTCTTGTCCCTTTAAGGGACCAGTCTCTTGCTGTATCCACCCAGATAAATACAGGATGCAAAAAAAATGATTTTTTGCATTCGGCTCGAAATCTCACAAACCTCTTCAAGCTAGAAAGGGATCTGCAATCAGAAAGTAAAAGCTGCGTAAATTCCAGCATCTATACCATAGTTTGCAGACCCTATAACTTTCACACAAACCAATTAATATATACTTATTGGGATTATTTACCAAAGGCATGTAGCAAAATATATTTTGGCCTAAATCTTTGATGAGATTTGTGTTTATTGCATATTTTTTATAACAGAAACGAGAAAATATAATTTTTTTCATAATGCTGTTTTTTTTTGTTTATAGCACAAAAAATAAAAAAAAACCCAGAGGTGCTCAAATACCACCAAAATAAATTTATATTTGTGGGGAAAAAATGACATAAGTTTTGTTTGGGTACAGCATTGCATGACTGCACAATTACCAGTCAAAATAACAAAGTGGTTAAACTTGCTCCGACTCCCTTCTAAACCTTATTCTATCTATCCAGTGAAAGGAAGATAGGAAGATTACCTATTCTGAGAGTGTTCTGGTCTATGATTGGCTCCCAGTGGCGGTTTCAGCATAGAGGAGGGACAGCCGACAACTGGTGCCCCAAAATAAGCTATGGGTGACATCACCACCCGGTTCTGCAGCCATTGTTTGCAATCTCTCCTCTTCACTGAAAGCAGCCGCTGGAGAGGTCATGTGACCAGACTGGAACAACTCAGAATAGCTAAGTATACACATTTTCCTTTCACTGGGTACATACTGTAGAATAAGATTTAGAAGGAGGGTGAGAGAAGGCTTTGTACCAGTTCACATATATGCAGATTGCATGTGGTTTGAACCGCATCCAATCGCATGACATGTGAAAATAACATTGCTTCTTATGGTGCCTGTTCACATATGTCCGGTGCACTGGAATTGCGGATTGAAAAAGAGTCATGTCCTATTTCTAACCAGTGCGGTCCAGTCCAGGGGTGAATTACAGGCTATTGACTTCTATGGGAACCGTTTCTAAACCGCACATGTTATCAGTTGTGAACAGGATAAAGTCTTGACCTGAACCTGATCTAAACCTGACCTGAACTGCTGAACAACTACTGTATCAATTAGCTGTTAAACCTGAGCTTCAATTCAGAACGGACATGTGTGAATCATCTCTTAAGCTTAGGTGTCCGTTTATGAACCAGCGGTAATAGATCGCTGCTCAGTTCTCCGGCATTCTCGGAGAACACAGTTCTCCTGTGAATGCAGTTTATGAAGAGTTCTCCGAACGAAGGGAGAACGGTCTCCAAACGCTGGAGAACGGTCTACAAACTCTGGAAAACGGCTCATTTTACTATAATCTCGCGAGATTACAGTAAAAGATCAGTTTACTAAGCAGAGGTAAATTATCTCTGCTTAGTTTTCGATCCCTCTGATTCTCCAGCTCTGGGCTGGAGAATCTAGAGGGAGAACACAGATCTCCAGAGAAGGGCTGACATGATCTCCTGAGTGTCATAGACTGTGAATGACCAGAGAATAGCTGAGATCTGTTGAATCGCAGCTATTCTCTGTGTCATAAACGGACACCATAGTTAGAAATAGGCTAGACTTCTACATTAAGATTTAGTAAAGAGCAATATATTCATTTTTCAATTTTGGGTTTATTACCACTTCAAGTTGCATTTCATTATTCGTTGCTTTATATAATCTGTAGATTGGGATACGCGTCATTACGCAGTTGCTGTGGTGAAAAAGTCCAGCTCATTCCAGTTTATTCAGCTGAAAGGAAAGAGGTCCTGTCACTCATGTGTATCAAAGGCGGCTGGCTGGAAAGCTCCTGTAAATGTTCTTGTAGAAAAGAAGTTTTTGTCCTGGGATGACTCTGCAAAAGAATCCATTGAACAAGGTATACAAACTTACACCTGTTGTATAAAGTGCCACTGGCTAAAGCTTGGTAGAGTGAAGCTGATATGGATATGTAGCTCTGATGAAAGATCCAAGAAGTGCCCATTCTCTAAGGATTTAGTCTGCTTTTATTACAAGCAGGGTGACTCTCTTTCAGAATATTAGCATTTATGACCAATTCAAATTCACCATATAGAACATTTTTGTTTTTGATTCCTAAATAAATTAATATTGTAAATGAAGTTGATGTCAGCATGTGTTTTTTATGACTGAAGGATTAAAGAAAATCTGCATTGAGGGAAATATACAGTGGCAAGAAATAAGTATGTGAAGCCCTTAGAATTGACTCGTTTTCTGCAGTAATATTCCATAAAATGTAATCTAATTCTCATCTAAGTCACAACAATAGAGAAACACAATGTGCTTAAACTGATAAAACACAAACATATCCGGATCAAACTCAGAATAGACTCACACCCATAAACCCAAGTTTAATGGGTGTTTTTAATAAAGAAATGTCTCATGTCTTTTTTAAACACACTCATTAAACATTCTTAGTGCTGGAGGAAAAAGGAAGTGAACCCATAGAATACTGACTTCAACAAAAGGTAATTGCAGTCACTAGTTTGCACATATGGAGTCCAACTAATGAAATGTGTCTGGAGGTGTGGTTTAGAGCTACTTTGATTAATAAAAGACACTCAGGAATTTTAAGATAATTGTTCATAAGAAGCATCAGCTAATGTGAACCATGCCTCGCAAAAAGGAGCTTTCTGAAGACATCTGACCAAGAGTAGTTGATCTGTATAAGGCTGGAAAGGGATGCAAAGAAATCTTAAAGTGTTTAGGCATCCATCAGTTAATAGACACATTATCTGTAAATGGAGACAGTTTAGTACTATGGCTATTCTTCCTAGAAGAGGGTGCCCAGCCAAGGTGACTACCAAGTCACAATTCAGAATCTTCAGTGAAGTAAAGAAGAACCTGCAAGCAACAGCTAAAGGCTTGAAGACATCACTGGAACTGGCAAACATCCCTGTGCACGAGTCTACAATACATATGTCTTTGATCAGGCAGGGTGTCCACGGCAGAACACAAAGAAGGAAGCCACTGCCCAAAAAAAACAAAACATTGCTGCAGTCCTGAAATTTGCCAAAGAGCACCTTGGCAAACTGCAATGCCATTGGGAAAATGTTTTGTAGACTGATGAAGCAAAAGTTGAATTGTTTGGGAAAAACACTCAGCACTATGTATGACACAAAAAGGGCACAGCTTACCAACATCATCCCAACAGTTAAGTATGGTGGTGACAACATCATGATTAGGGTTTTCTTCCCTGCATCAGGACCTGGACCACTTGCCATAATCAATTAAAATCAAAATTAATCAAATTTAATTCCCAAGTTTACCTAAATATCCTACAATGTGATGTCAGGGTAGCTGTCCACTAGCTGAAACTTAGCAGAAGCTGGGAGATGCAGCAGGACGGAGACCTTAACCCCTTCACGCCTAAGGGTAAAACACATCTTAATGCCTAAGCACAATTTTGCAATGTTGACATGTTAGTAAAACCGTACATATCATCACAACTACTTTGTACATCCAGGTGATCTAGACCTTTTTTTTTTTTTTTTTTTTTTTTTTTTTTTTTTTTTAGTTTTTTTTTAGTTTTTCAGGACAAATTGGGCTTTCATTTGGTGGTAAATGGTAATGGATATATCATGATTTTTTTTTTTTATTATCAAAGGAAAACTGGCCCAAAATAAAAAAATATATATTTTTTTAATTTACCATAACCTACCACCAAAGAACCCAAATAAATTTTTCAGCTCTTGATGATCGCAGCGATACCATATATGTGTATGTTATTTGTTGTTTGTACCTGTAGTACAGCCCAGAAACAATAATGCGCATTTTGTTTTTTATTTTTTTTGGGGGGGGGGGTTTACCTAAAACACACTGACACTAACTGACACTGATACCAATTTAAAAAACAAAAAAAGCCTGACCTTTTGACTTTTGATCCTGACTTTGACCCAAACACTTACCCTGGCAATGAACTAGATCAAACCTTGATCTAGGTAATTTTTCTTTATTTTTTTATTTTATTTTTTAATAGTTATTTATCCCTTTTTATGTTTTTTTACAAACATTTTTTTTTCTCTATGCCAGGAGTTAGAGAGATACAATGTATCTCTATCCTCCATTCATAGAGAAAAAAAAGAGGGGGGGGTCTATACAGTAACTGATCACTGTGATAGCCAATCAGAGGCTATCACAGCGATCACGTGACCCAGAATCGGCCATCCCGAGTCCCGATCATTAGAACGGGACCCGGGGCTCTCAGTGACACCCCGGTCTTTGTGCTGGGAATGCTCTGTATGGCAGGATCCCAGCAGAAAGACAGGCACGCAAATATGCGGTCCCACAGAAAAAAGCCCAGTTCTGTGAGGCCGCATATTTGTGTGACATCGGCGCAAAGGGGTTAAGCATTGAAGTAAATCCAGTACAGATTGGCTTCAGAAAAAGAAAATGAGTCTTGAGGGGCCCTGTCAGAGCCAAAACCTTAACCCGATAGAGATGCTGTGGAATGACCTCAAGAAAGCTGTTCAAACACCAGACATCCTACAAATGTGTCTGAGCTGAAGCAGTTTTGTAAAGAAGGATTGTTAAAAATGTATCCTGAACATTGTGCAGGTCTGATCCAGAGCTACCGAAAAGAGGCCAAAGGAGGTTTGACCAGCAATTAACTTGAATGTTTAAAGGATATGTTCAATAAAAACACAAGATAGAAATGTTTATATGTTATCAGCTTAAGCACATTGTGTTTGTCTATTGCTGTGACTTAGATGAGGATCAGGTCAAAATTTTATGGCAAATTACTGGAGAAAACCAGTTAATTTCAAGGGGTTCACATACTTTTTATTGACACAGTATGAGCTGCTATTGCTGGCCCTCTTTTGAACATTCTAGTTGCTTGTCTTTATCTGGGTTCAATACCTTCTAAATTACTTGAGTAACATTTCATTAGAGTGAAGTCAGAACTTCCATACTTTTTATCAGGTCAGTAACACAGTGGTTAAAGTCGCCCTGAAAAAAAAGATACTTACTGGTCAAAGCTGTAATGAAGACAAATTACTGCTCAAGGAGTCTTCATTATTCAACACCTACTGGAGTTTCATATTCCTAGTCATCCTCTGTCCTGACTGGTTTGATCTGCCACCCCTATGTCAACAGGGTACACAGTAGTGGCCAGTGAATTAGAAAAAAGACTCAAGTTCATCTAGTTCAACAAATTTTGGGAGGTTTGCCCTAATTTCTTTTGCAACCCATCATTCACTTTTGATTCTTGTGCCCTTGATTTATTTTTACATATTATGTCATGTTCTTTGTTATCTTGAAATGATGATAGTGTTCCTTAATTGTTATATTTTTTTAAATGCCCTTTTCTTATTCTTTAGGCCTTTTTAAACTTTAGTTTTAATGTAGCCTTTTAAATGTGCTGCCCATTGGAATATATTTCACAGTGTGTTTCCATACAGTTACAATATTACCTCCCAGCCTAAGTCTTGGAGAGCAGCCCTCAGCATTAGAAATGTTGCTCTCTTATAATTATTTTATATTATATATTATTGTATCTTATTAATATATATTATATCTTATAGTATGGGCTTGTTGTTTACAGCTTACATTGAATGAAATCATATTATAGTCACTATTTTTATATGAAAGTAAGCTCTGCATGGTTTGAGATTACCAGGTCCAGCAGAGCATCATTTTCAGTTGGAGCTTCATTAGATTATACCATAAACTTGCCTTGTAATAAGTTTATGCATTTCTACAATTTCTAACATAAACCAATAAGTGCAGTGCAGGATCAGAAACCTATTTCACATTCTGCAGATTCTTTGAGCATTGGTTTCTCTTTTTACAACAAAGATTGGCAGTGTGAAAGGTATTTCCAGAGAGACAAGTTTGCAATAGCACCCATCTTCCTACAAGGAAGCACCATGCCCAACATGACAGCTGGAGAAAAGAGAAAGCACAGTAAGCAAATTAAAGCCCAAGGAAGAACTTAACTCTATGACAAGTTTTTTTTAATGCCTTCTGTTCCCCATTTGGATTAAATCTGAGAAGGCCTAAAACTTCTGACAGTATTTTTATTCCTTCCTGTTCCGAGGACATCAGCACCCCTCATTTCTTGCACAGGCATAACAGGGGGGCAGGAAGTGAAGAAAAGTCTTCCCAAAGGCTCCAAAGACAGAAATAAAAACCTGATAGGAATTTCCACTCTTTCCAACTGTATCCAAAATGTAAAAAAAATGGTTAAACATAGGCAAGTTTCAACTGTTTATATCAATCATGTGGGGTCGGCAACAAGGTGAGAATAGAACTGTAGAAACTTTATTGTAGATTCAGAGTATAAAAGTACTAGAAGGCAACCAACACTAGTTGAGTGTTGCATGTCTCCTAGGACTTTTATACTCTGCATCTTCAATAAAGCTTCTACAGTTCTATTCTCACCTTGTTGCTGACCCCACGTGATTGATATATGCAAGTTGAGCGGATGGAGACTGTGGAAATGCCATGGCGAGACCTATACTCCTTCTGGAATATTTTATAGGGGTTGTAGCACTTTTCCTTTGTATGTGTAAGTTTTGTAACTGTTAGTCTGCCTAAAATGTATATTTCATATTTTGGTGTGCAGATTTGACATTTTTATCTATCTCACACAAACATGATTGGTGAGATCTTTGCCCTTAAATTCCTTTATTTTATTTATCTCAGAGAGAGTGACGGTTGACATTCTGGAGAATTCATAAAGTGTGTCGTAGACGTTCCCCATCAGGCCCTGCCCAACCAGTGACCATATTTGGGTAATGGCATTACCTGTGTCTCTGGCCCCTTTGGTTACGCTTAGTTTCTGTCTGGGAAATCTCCCTGCAGACAGCTAAATGGGGCTGGTGATACAGCACTGTGTGGGAAGCTGTCACATTCAGTACATGATGGCTTCTCGGCATAGACATGACCCGCTCTAAATTCTGGTATATCTCCGTACAACAGCTCAGAAATGGTCCTATTTACTGCCAGTTTGCTAATTTGAGAACTGGCTTTAATTCTTTAAAAAGTCGTCGCTGTTGTAGAAACGCATTCTTAAAGTGGCAGCACTAAGAACTACCTGAATTTGCTGCGCATCAGTAATTTTATTGACACTGGCACAAATTTGTGCCTGAATTAGGCACATGTGGTTCTCAAAGGAACAACAGAAGTCTTTCGTTAGGGCTATTTTCAATTGCCATGTTTGTTGTAGCTCTGCCTTAAGCACTGCTCCTGGTATTGTCCTATTCCTCAGACACTTACTTTTATTAACAAGTTAGCAAAATGATAGTTACGATGAAAAAGGCACATACTGATAACTCTCAACAAACTTTGTCTTAACATAAAGCAACATTAATAGACAATAATTGTATTATTTTGCTCACTTTCCTCTGATTCAGACTTTCTGCAAGTTGCGTGTATCTAGCTACTTGTTTTTAAGGGCTTCATAAACCTTCCTACCTTCACCTTGTGTTTTACACTTGAATAAGATGCGCATTGATCATGTAGCTTCAGTGTCATTTTTGGTCTGTATGCACAATCCATAGTAGAGAAGAACCATCACATTCTGGTGTCAGAAGTTTCTGTTTGTTTGATACCTGAGGCTCCTGTTATTGTCCTATTCCTCAGACACTTACTTGTATTAACAAGTTGTTAGCAAAATGATAGTTACGATGGAAAATGCACATACTGATAACTCTTAACAAACTTTGTCTTAACATAAAGCAACATTAATAGACAATAATTGTATTATTTTGCTCACTTTCCTCTGATTCAGACTGTTAATGAGATTATTTTTATTCAGCTGTGTCAAAGTTCTTCTCAGCCAGTTGCATTCCAGGAGCAACTGAAACCAACCTTTGCGAGCAATGTATGGGAGAGGAAGGAAGAAGAAGTGTAAGAGCAGCCATGATGAGCCATACTATGGCAACCATGGAGCATTCAGGTGAGTACAAACAGCCCAAATGTCGTACTCAGCTTACATTTGTTCGTCCATAGCCAGTTGCATTCCAGGAGCAACTGAAAACATGTGGCATGACATTGCAGAGGTTAATGCATGACCTCTGTCTGTAGTCTGAGAACTGCATTTTCCTGTGAGGCCGCTAAATATCCTGTAGGATATTTTGGTAAACTTGGGAATTCATTTACCCTCAATGATGGCAAGTGCTCCAGGCCCTGAGGGAGCAAAGCAAGCCCAAATCATGATGTTGCCTCCACCATACTTAACCACTTCCCCCTCCACCATATTTAACCGCGTCCCATCCGTCCTATAGCAGAAATACTGTGTGCAAAATCACATGTACAGTATATAAATGTGATTTTGCAGTTATGGGTAGGAGGCTGCGCCCCCTACTCGGAACTGCAAAATCGCCCGACAATCACCGACAGGGAAGAGGACTGTTTTGTTTACTAACAGTCCACCTCCCTGTCGACTTGGGCACACTGTTCTGGATGGCCGTGCACAGCACATTCATCCAGAGCAGTGTGATTACAGTGAAACCCACACACATTGCCCCCTAGTATAACACTCCCTGCACACAGTGAACCCTTTGATCACCCCTCACGTTAACCCCTTCCTGCCCAGTGTCATTGGTACAGTGTCAGAGCTTGTTTTTTATTTTGCTGAGGCAGCAAAGAAAGCCCAAATCATGATGTTGCCTCCACCATACTTAACCACTTCCCCCTCCACCATACTTAACCACGTCCCATCCGCCCTATAGCAGAAATACTGCTACAGGGCGGCACAGGTGTGCAGAATCACGTGTATATAAACGTGATTTTGCATTTCTGGGTAGGGGGCATGCGCAAGCTACGCCCCCTACTCGGAACTGCAAAATCGCCCATGCCAGGTGATTTCTGATAATAACCGACGGGGACGAGGACTGTTTTGTTTACTTTACTAACAGTCGTCTTCACCGTCGGCTTGGGCACACTGCTTCAGAGCAGTGTGATTACAGTGAAACCCACACACACACCGCCCCCTAGTAAAACACTCCCTGCACACAGTGAACGCTTTTTTTTTAGCACTGATCACTGTATTAGTGTCACTGGGGATGTCAGTGACACCAAGCCCGTTCCCCCCAGTGTCAGAATGTGATTGCCACCATTACTAGTAAAAAAAAAAAAGAAAAAAACCCCAGTATATATACCGCCATTTTGTAAACACTTTAACTTTCACGTAAACCAATTCATTGGGATTTTTTTTATAGCAAAGACATGTAGCAGAATACATTTTGGCCTAAATTTATGACGAAATTAGATTTTTTAAAATTTTTTTACTGCACATGTTTAATAGCAAAAAGTCAAATTGTCGGTCTTTTTTTATAGCGCAAAAAAATAAAAACTGCACAGGCAATCAAATACCACCAAAAGAAAGGATGTAAATTTAATTTGGGTGCAGCGTTGCATGACCACACAATTGTCAGTCAAGGTAACGCAGCGCCGTAATGCAAAAAATGGCCTGGCCAGGAAGGGGGGTAAATCCTTAGGGGGGGCAAGTGGTTAAGCACATTGTTTTTGTGATTTAGATTAAATCAGATTGCATTTTATGGCAAATTACTGGAGAAACCCAGTTAATTCCAAGGGGTTCACAAACTTTTCTTGCCACTGTACTTACTTATTTTGAACACGCTTCAGTCTGGTCACATGATCCTGTGTTAGCCAGCAACTGGGTGTGGGGGAAAAGGAGAAAGTGTTTGACAATGACTGGGAAAGCCCGGAGCAGTGACATCACCCAAAGGCTCCTATGGCCTATCCATTGTTGTTGCTCTCTACTCTCCCATGTAGTCACCGCTGACTGACAAAAGGGAGCGAAAACACATGGCTGGACTGGAGAGCCCTGAAAATAGATAATTAGAGGCTTCTTTTTTACACAGGTTAGTTAACATAGTGTTGGGGGGGGTGTGTTTTTAAGGTTAGTCAGGTGTGCGCTGATATTCTACTTTAAATGATCATTAGGTACTAATACTAAAATTTAAAATAAAGAATTTGGGGACTATTTATAAATGTTTTCAAATAGGACTCACATAACTTTCACTGATGATACACTGATATTTTATAATTGGAGTCAATTGTGTTTACTAAAAACATCAAATCATGAGCACAAGTTCAGTTTGCCTCATTTTGCACTGTAGAAAATGATCTCCTAGGTGTATAATTTGTACAGTAAAGAAATGAGTCACAGTATAAAGTAATGATGTAATATTTGCATATGTCTATTTTCTAATTACAGATGTTTGAAAGATGACAAAGGAGATGTAGCTTTTCTGACATGTGCAGCTTTGTCAGGTAAGTTGACAACTCATTAGGAATACCTGCATAGTTACATAGTTGCACACAGGTCCATGCTGTTCAATGTGTGTAACCACTTCCTGGGGGAGAGAGTTCCACATTTTAGTTGCCCTAACAGTAAAGACCCCCTTCCTCCATCTAAGGTTAATCTGCATTTTTTATAACCTTTGATATATTTTGTATATTGCAATAATGTTCCCTTTTAAGAGCTTCTTCTCCACACTGAATAATTGTAATCTATGTAATCTGTCATCGTAGCTGAGGTCCTTCCATCCTCCTTATCAATTTTGTTTTCCTTCACTGAACTCTCTAATTCAGCAAATTCTGTCCTGAGGATTGGTGACCAAAATTGAACTGCATATTCAAGATGAGAACGACCTTTCATAAATCCATGTTGGTGGTCACTTACGCCACCTTTATCGCAGACAAATTTATGTGCAGAGTTCTTTTTCATCCCCTCAAATACCTTACATACTACTGATGGTAGGCCGACTGATCTGTAGTTTTATTGGTATGCATCTCGATCCTTTCTAGCAAGTTGGTACCTCATTTGCTGTACCATTCCAGTCAGTAACAAATCTATAAAAGTTACAAATAGTAGCATGGCTATAACTGAACTAAGTTCCTTAAGGACTTGTTAAACTTTTTTATTTCCAGGTTTCTATATTTAACCTTTCAGATATGTGGATGCAGTGCAATAATTCAAACAACTCAAAAATATAAAATGAATTTACTTGGTTTAAAGATGTATTACAGATGATAAAATGGATAAACACAGCAACATTCAAGTCCAAGGAAGCCCCTAAATGTATTTGAAATTCCTGGAAGTGATAGTCCTCTTTCCTCAGGCACTTTGTCCCTTAAAGTCCTGAGTAAGCTTGAATGAAGTTGTATTTATCTATTTTATCATCTGTAATACATCTTTAAACCAAGCTAAGCTAATTCCTTTTATTATTAAACTTTGATGATCACATCCACATATCTGAAAGGTTAAATATAGGAACCTGGAAGTAATAAAGTTTAACCCTTTAAGACAACTTGGGAGTGTAATCCCCATGCAGGCAAACATGGCCCTTGCATAGGTTTACATTTAAGTACTCCCTAAGCCACTTGGACCTGGTGATCTGTTCACATGGAGTTCCCCTAGTATTTTTTGTACCTTGTTTCTTTTCTGCCACAGAGGTACCATCGGTAAAACGTCATTAGTATTACTGTTAAGACTACTGAGCCCATCTTTTTCATTTGTGAAAACTGAAGAGAAAATCTTATTACATCTGTCATTCGTTACCTGCTTCCCTGGTTTATTTGTTATGGGGCCTAACCTCATAACATTTTAACTATTGGTATATTTAAAAAAAAATATTGGATTCCTTTCACATACTGTAGCATTGTGTTTTTTAAATTCTATTTTAGGCTTTTTGATTGCTCCCTATAATTTCTACTTGCATTGCTTGTAAATCTAGAATGCCAAGGGTGTCACTTCTACTTTGTCTGTTGCACTGAATCCTGTATTTTGTTCTGTCAGGCCTGTAAGATACAGCTTCATCTTTATAAAAACGTTGTCTATGTGATCCCCAGTTACCTTAAGTAGTATGCAAAAAATCTCAGACTTGCAATGTGGTTCCCCTCTATACTCTATGTATAAATATATGTATGCACAAAAAATAACAATGAATGCAGCTTTTTTTATATGATTATTAACCACTGTATCTGCAGATGAACATTCAGAGGTGTATGAGCTTCTGTGTCCAGACAATACTAGGAAGCCCATTAACAAGTGCAAGGAGTGTAACTTAGGTAAAGTTCCAGCAGGTGCAGTGGTGACCAGACAAATCGGTGACAAGACTGAGGACATCAATAACTTTCTTATGGAGGCTCAGGTAGAAGCATGGTCCCCATACTGATAATGTAATGTAAGCAATTAACAGTGATGGAATCTATTTGGAATGTTACTATGGAATCTTTAAGTTTATGTTTGCCAAAATTAAAATTACTGGCATGGGGTCTCTTTTTTCAGCATAATGTAGCAGAGAAAACATCCACTTCCTTGCAGCTCTCTTCATCTCTCCAGACTAAGGGGTCCTCAGAATAATTGGAAATGAAACAGAGCACACTGGTATAGTGTAAGAGGTCTAAACATATTTAGTTGGTTAAAATAAATATATTGTACTCACAAAAGTGATAAAATTACATACATCTCTAATTTCCATAAGGAAATCTGTGTAATTCAGTCCATATGAAAAACTATTTGCCAACAGAAATCTGCCCTAAGTGGAAATGTATATAAAAAGTGCTTACATTTCCATAAAGCAGCACTCACAAGATAACCACACAAATATGAACACAATAATGTTGCACTGTACCTTTAAGAGTAAAGATTCCAATTTATGCAAATGCATATAGGTTGAGTGAAAGACAAATCATGTGAAATCAACAGTGTATACAAAACATTTATAATATACAAAAGTCCATAAATCAGTCCAAACGTGACCATAAAAGTGCAGATGTTAAACTGTAAACCCACTGTTTACTGTGCAAAACAAAGGTACTCAAAGAATATACAGAGGCAAGCTCCGCTAAACCGTGCACACCTCTGCATCCCTGGGCAGATCAACACAGCCCTCGCGTGGGGTATAGATTTTGTACAAGGCCTCAGTAATAGCAGCACTTATAGATTATTCTATTAGTGGTTAATACTTCTAGTGAAGTACTTGTAATATCATTCTGTTAAAATGTGTGGACCAAGAATAATGACAAAGTTATTATATCTTCTTCATACACCTTTCCGAATGAACTCTTTAATATTATCCCTTTGTTGATTACAGAAAATGCAATGCCAATTGTTCAGTTCTGCACATGGGAAAGATTTGATGTTTGAAGATTCCACCAAACAATTAGCTCTTCTCTCATCTGAGGTGGATGTGTTCCTCTTTCTCGGAGTAAAATTCTTTAATTCCATGAAAGCACTGACTGAAGGTATGTGGTGCAAAAGGTGGATTTATCAATGAACAATCTGTTTACATATTTGCCCACATTATTGAGACCATTCTGATCAGTTCCTGACTCCAGGAACTGTCAGCCTTGCAATGCCTCATGGGACTTGTAGTTCTGCAACACAGCTGGATGGCCACAGGTTGAGCACCCATGCCTTAGAATAATCCTGGGTGTCCCTGTCTCATGCATGTTTTATAGCTGTCAGTGCTAGTTGTCCCTAAACCCCTTACATCTCAGTGCTCAGATGTACAGTGCATCCAGAAAGTATTTACAGTGCGTAACTTTTGCCACATTTTGTTATGTTACGGCCTTATTCCAAAATGGATTAAATATTTTTTTTTCCTCAACATTCTACAAACAATACCCCATAATGACAACGTGAAAGAAGTTTTGAAATCTTTGCAATTTATTAAAAATAAAAGGCAAAAAAAAACACATGTACATAAATATTCACAGCCTTTGCTGAAGCACCTTTAGCACCAATTACAGCCTCAGGCTGTGAATACTTATGTACATGTGTTTTTTTTTTTTTTTCATTTTTTATGTTTAATAAATTGCAAAGATTTCAAAACAAACTTCTTTCATGTTGGAGTTTGTTTTGCCCAAGCCTGCTTAGATTGCGGATTGAGTGGTCTGCAACCATTACATCAGAGACTTTCTTTCCACGCCATTCAGCCCCGAAAACTATTCCTTTTTACCTTTTTATCAAAGGGGTAAACAGACTTTTAAAGAGGGAGGTGAGACTCCCATGGGTGTCAGATATGAACAGCCTCCTAACCCAAAAAGACTCTCTTCCTTGAGAGAGACACAAGATACTATGCTGGCAGGGCCAGTGACTGGAATATGTGGCAACCAATTGGCCTTTAGTACGTGAGCTTAAGGGATATAACCTGGGAAAGTGTATGTCATTATTTTCCAAGCCTGTTCTTGCAGCATACTGGGAAACTAAGACTGGAAGGCAGGTAAGTTCATTTACAACAGAAGGACATGTTGTAGAGGCACTCTGGGAGCCTCATCACATTGGTCCATGCCAGTTTGGTGGACCCTGCCAAGCTTGTCAGAGACCAAATGGAAATACTTTCTATATACAGCGATGCTAAAGACTACCTTACTGTGGTGCTCTCAGTGGAGACATCTGGTGGAACTGTAGAGCATGTGGGTGTGGTTGAGAACTTGCAACACAGTAATACTGGGCTGTGATTTTTCATTGTTTTGGGAGCTGTGGGGGGAAAATTAGGTAACCAGTTCTGAAAATGTTTCTGAAGTAAATGATATTACTATTATACCCAAACTTTGAGAGGGTTCTTGACACCCCTACATCAGTCTATGGGACTTTAACTTGTAAATTCAACGTGCCCATTTTATAGGCTTATATGCAAGTTATTGGCCATAAAAAGGGTAGGGGTACTGACCTGAAGGACATGAATCAGTGAAAAAAAAAAAAATGGGTTTTCAAAGGGGCACTCATTTTTCATTGGTTAAAGTAAAAAAAAAAATGAAACATTTCTTTAGCTATCATTCCTGGTAGGACTTTTAAGGGGAACCCCACCTCCCAAAAATGGGGGGGTAGTGCGTGGAGTTCTCCCTAAAAGCAATACCAGGCCTTTTAGGCCTGGTAGGACTTTTAAGGGGAACCCCATCTCCAAAAATAGAGGAAACAAGTGTGGGGTCCCCCCTAAATTCCTACCAGACCCTTGATCTGAGCATAGGTCTGGCTGGGCAGGAAAGGAGGGGACGAGTGATCGCCCCGCCGCCCTTCTTGAACCATACCAGGCCACATGCCCTGAGCAAGAGGGGGCCTTGGGGTAGGGGGGCAAAGCACCTTGTCCCCATGTTGACAAGGGCCTCTTCCCCACAACCCTGGGCTGTGGTTGTGGGGGGTCTTCCGGAGGCGACTTATCAGAAAATGGAAGCTCCCTTTAACAAAGGGGCCCCCAGGTCCTGGCCCTCCCCTTGTGAATGAGTATGGGGTACATAGTACCCCTACCCATTCGCCAAAAACATTTAAAATGTGAATAAAAAACACAATAGTTTTTTTCCTTTATTAAAAAAAAGCCCAAAAAATTGTTCCATCATTTTAATCCATTGTCAAACATGGCGTCCAGCGTTGGGACGATGACACCTGAAATTAAAAAATGGCCCCCGACCTGCCTGCACCCACCAAGCACTTTCCGCTATCTGACATTTGCTGGTCAAATGTAAACAATTGGGCGGGGCTAGCATTGATGTCACCATTAGGCCCGCCCAATTGTGCCCTGATTGGCCAAAGCATTGCACCTGACCTGTGGTCAGGTGCATTGCTTTGGCCAATCACAATGCACTGTCAGACCGCAGTGCATTCTGGGGCGTGGCGGGCGAATAGCCCGCCTAATGCCCTTACCATTCAGGTGTTCACCTTCACTGAAACTATTGCACAGGTGGCAACCTATCATGGTACCACACTTGAATTCACTGAGCTCCTGAGAGAGACCCATTCTTTCACATATGTTTGTAGAAGCAGTCTGCATGCCTAGGTACTTGATTTTATACACCTGTGGCCAAGGAGGTGATTGGAATACCTGAATCCAATGATTTGGAGGGGTGTCCTGATACTTTTGGCAATATAGTGTATATAGTAATGTTGACCTCCAGATCCTCAGACCGGCATCATTCAAATGAATTGCTCATCTACAGTATGTTACTGCCCTCATTTAAAAATATATACTGAAAAAGCTTACTGGGTCTGCTGACCTCCTTCTTGCTCCTAGCTTTATCTTTGTTGCAATAGGTTTACCCGCCCAAAGCAATAACCATGAATAGTATAGCTATAGACTTAGTGCTTTTCTAAAGATGAACTGATGTAAACACTTGCAGGCAAACAATAAACCATCCACAGTGGGAAGGAATAAGAGCACTGTGCACACTGAGCAATTACGTCTCCTGAAATCTAGTCACATCACCCTGGTCTTAGTTCTCCTTCAACTCAGGCCCTTCAAGGAACCAGATGTAGTGCCTCTGGATCTCTCTTGTGCTCCCAGGGTGGATGCCTCTTCTACCTACACATCAGTTTGATACTGATCCTATTAGTATATTTTTCAGTAGTAAAGAAAGTACAGTAGAAGTATTCAGAGGAAAACCACAAAACAGGAAATATTCTTGTGGAAAATTAGCCAAGGTCCAATACTGCAAAGCATCAGTGCTAATCAACAGCTCTCCTCACAATGCTACCTGTTATTACTTATTGTATGTATTGTGTGTATGTTAAAGTCACATAGTAAAAAGAGTGGTGTCTTTATGTAGATGCAAATCTTCTACCCAAGAACAAAGTGCGCTGGTGTACAATAAATAAACCGGAAAGGATGAAGTGTGATGATTGGGCAGCTGTAAGCGGTGGGGCCATTGCATGCACAGAGGCATCCTCTCCAAAGGATTGTGTTAAACAGATTCTGGTAAGTTTAATACTATGTACAAGTACAAATACATGTGCAAATCTTCTCGAGTTATTTCAACTGTGCATAACTTACATTAAAACATTTAAAAAACACTCTTTTCAAAGTATACCTATCACATACTTGGGGAAATCGCAATGGGCATATGGTAAGAAAAATACAAAAAATATATGCTACCAATAGTCAAAAACTACATGTTAAAATGGCCAGTGCATCCAGAGATATAGGCTGCTGATGTTATTTGCAAATTGGGACTTTTCAGGGCTAGCTAGGCTCTATATCCCTACACCTTCTGGATGCCCATCACATGAAAGTACCAATAGGGAAACTGGAAAATGGGACAGAATTGAACCAAGCTCAGCTTTCACAGGAAGAGTTGAGATTTGCATATGTAGTGCTACCTTCTTGAGGTCTGCTGTGTTTCTCGGCCCCCCTAATTTCCACACAGCCAGGCAACACACATTCTCCACATTTGCATCCACAGTAGCAGATCCTGGACTGTTCTTTTCCTTGAAACCAGTCTTTCTTTATGGATCCCTAGCAACAGCCCCTTACGGGCTAGGGACTCTAAGCCCCTATGAAAGTTAGCTTAGATTGTTGCAAACTACTTGCAGAGATGTCTCCTCTTCCCTGTAGAACTGCTCCACAGTATGCAGATACTACCAACCCTCCTGACTGCTCTGAAGATCTTCCAGGACAAGGATAAATGATTAAGCACAGCACTGTCCTTTGAACGCTTGCTATACGTGGCAGTCTGTGCCCTTGTAAATCCCTCTTTGTGCTAATGTACTCACTATGTCCTCCTTGCTCCCACTGCTCCCAGGCCTGGATCCTGTTCATACTGTGATGCTGAATAGATCCCCCTGTGCCCAGCCCGAGCCCAGCCTGGAGGCCAGCCCCCCTTAGATCTAGGGGACTCTTGACTGGCCACCAACAGCCTCCTCAGCACTCCATCTTCCACCTGATCCCCTGCCAGCTGACTCTCCTATATTTATGGGTTGGCCTCACCACTCTACCAGGGCTTCCAAACCCGGGATTGGTTAGACTCCCATAAACATGCAGATGAGGTCTCCACCCCTTCCACCCACTGGCTTCTGGAAGCTTATATGGTCCTCCAGAACCAGATGAAGGCAATAGAGTCACAACCTGTTAAGCCATCCAGCTTGACCTGCAGTAACCCGACCAAATTACAGACTCACACAGTTATCATTGGATATACCCAATACATTTACCTAGATTACCCTAGTAGCACACTAGAGGGTGCTACACATATAACTTCAACTGCCTATATGTCTGGGTCTAATGGTCATTTACCATGTGGCTTTCAAAGAAGGTGGCCCCTGCTTATACAGCTTTTTTCATTTATACAGTTTGTGTTGCCCAGGTTTTTCACAGAGATGCACTGCACTCTTATCTGGGTACACACAATCAGTTTTTTTTTTCTGTTCAATCCAGCAGGCTGAACAAAAAGAAACTGAAGTGCTCATGAGGAGCTTGCTGTACTAGCTCCAATGTTAGTACAGTGATCCTCCCACTGAGCTGATGTGTTCTGACAGGAGGACTGCCCCCCTGCCAGAACACACCGGTAAGCACTTGCAGCCATTGGCTGCCAGCACTGATCAGACACAGATCGGATGCTGGTTTTCCAGCATCATGTCCATTCCGAATGGCCAGCTTCTGTTGGGCACTGATGTACACACAGGCCAAATATTGACCAGTTTTTGTAGAGCCGACTGATACTGGCTGATATTCAGCCCGTTTGTTTGGGGCTATAGTGTATTTATGCAGAGAGTAGCGCTGATGCTTTAATGTCACCACCAATTCCTGCATCATCTAGAACTAACGACAGTTATGCAAAAGGGGAACCAACATGCCATGATAACATCAGAAAAAGGTAAGTAGATATATCACTCTCAGTATTATTAGGTGAGGTAAATTTAGTTTGGTTCCTCTGTAGGCAGAGGAGCAGGGGGTTAACTTGAGTGTGCAGTGCTCCAAGGACTGTTGCTCTGCTACCTCCCCCTGTTGTCTGTAACTCTGTGGATAGTTCTAGAATCTAATGGGTAGAGAAACAGAGACTGCAACCTGAATATTTATGGAGTTCCCACCAATCCTTGAGGAGGCCAGACTCAGTCGGTGGGGGAAGAACCCATAAATAGGAGCCTGGCAGTTGGGGAGCAGAGTCCAGGGTCCAGGCGGCTAGAGGGGATCCCTATGCTGGGGGCTCTGTCCCTGGGCAGAAGGCAGGCCAGAAAAGAGAGAGTGAGATGGAGAGAACAGGAGGAGCTGGAATCTTTACACCCTTTATCAGCCTCAGATAGGCATAGCTGATGACATCCTGAAATGAAGACCCGGCCTGAATAGCAGTGTGCCCGTAGAGCAGCCTTTTGGATTCCAGAGACCACTTAAAGGGACTGTGTGAGTAACTTCCATTTCAACTTACCCCAAGCCTGTACAAAGAACACAGTAAGACACAACACTTAACATGTCTGGGACCAGGGATAGCTTAGAGCCAGCTCAAAGCAGGCAGAAGCACCCCATATCACTAGCGTGGGACAGTAGTAGCCAGGTGCTTTGGTATTCCTGCCAGGAGCAGGACCTGCATCTCCAAATTTGGAACCTTTTTGATATTTTTTAAGCTGCATCATCATTCCCACGGGTGGGAAGTGCCGTTGAAGTCAGTTCTTTGCAACCATTGACATTAGGAAGTCCTCAAGAGTTATCCAAGCTCTTTCATTCTGGGCATCCCATGCATCCCTTTTCCCTATCTAAGTTTATCCTTTAAATAAACAAAACAAAATCCCCTAGACTGATTATTGAGCCTGTGAAGAGAGTGTGAAAATTCCTGTTGCTTAGTTCTGTGTGCTGTGCAGGGGGGGAAAGCCCTTGAATCCAATGGCTCCTACCAGAGTAAGGGCTACATAGAAAATAAGGAAAAAAGCATAACATACTGCATAAGAATAACAGAAGCGTGTGGCTCACTGTACAGGGATGGACAGGCAGGTAAGTAACTTTAATTCAGAAGAGACAAAGCATGTCTCTTCTGCATTACAATTCCTTCCTGTTTGGCAATTTTTCGTATTTTAGCTATAGTTCCACTTTAACCTGATTCAAAGGCTAATTTGGCAAAGGTCAAAAATGTTTTGCTTTACCATCTTCATTAAGGATGTCAATAAAATATTATATGAAATCAACAAAGATTTTACAATATCTAAAATATTATTGCATCAAGACATCTACGTTATTGCCCATAATGCAGTAAGGTGCAGACTATCATAGGAAAAGAGTATGCTCCTCAACAGCGTTTAGTGTCATAGTATATTATTTTTCATGGAGAATACATTCTGCTGACACTGAAGTTTGCCCCATTTGCACAGAAAGAGTTTACATGTAGTTTTAAATGAATGAACAGGAATGCAAAAAATTAAGAAATATACTCCTTAAAGTGTATCTAAACATAAAAACAATATTCCAGTTTACTAGTCCTTAGATGTGGTGGCTGCATTAGTAAATTTATTTTGCAGGCTAAGAAGATTTTTAGCAAGTAGAGAACATACCTGTTGATTTTTCCAGGGGTACAGTGTCCTTGTCACTTCCTGTGAACTGAATATTAGGCACAAACTTCTTATCTTTATTGAGTACACTACTAATCCCATCAATCCGCCATGTGGTCTGATGATGGTCTCACGGTGGGGTCACTGAAGAAGATGGGAGAGAAGGTGAGCATGACACAACACCTAGGAAACACAGCAGCTTAGTACATTCTTGCATACCTGGCAGGCTGAGGAGCTTGGCTGGAGTTGAGCCACGTTTTACCTTTTGTCACCTATGCAAAGATGACCTTAATGCATGGAAGCTAAATAATGATTCACTGATATAGCAAAAGACGTATTTTTATCCTCAGCATAGTTATATCATTTAGTTAATCAACACATCTACTGGAGATGATATCCACCTACTCTTTTTCTTGAAAGAGGGTGGACTTAAAAGTGGAGCTCCACCCAAAAGGGGAAGTTCCGCTTTAAGGACTGCTCCCCCGCTCCCCATTAAGGATTGGCACCTTTGGGGGGCAGGGGGGAGCGAGTACCTGAATTTGACAGGTACCCCCGCTCCCACTTCCGGTCCGATCGCCTAGGCAATCGGAAGCGGAAGGTGTCCTCCCTCCCTCCCTGTAGTCTTTTGGGACACGTGACAGGTCCCAGAAGACTACAGGACCATTCACAAGGCACAGCGCTACTCATGCATGCACAGTGGGTACCCGGCTGTGAAGCAGCAAGCTGTCACAGCCGGGTGCCCACACTGAAGATGCTGGCCTCCTGGAATACAGGATGGCCGGTGAAACGGGCTGCGGGGGACACACAGGGGGACCGAGGGACAGTGTGAGTGGCTTTTTTTTTAAAAGTCAGCAGCTACAGTTTTTGTAGCTGCTGACTTTTATATTTTGACAGGGTGAGTGGAACTCCGCTTTAATGTCCACACACCACATATATGACTGAGGTTTCTGTGCTGAGGCTGTGTGCTCACTGCATGCTCTACTAGGTTAAGTTCACACTAGTGTGGCTGCAGAATGATCTGATTTTCAGTGCGATTTAAGTAGTGCGACAGTGACAACTCCTAACAGCCAACACAAAATGCTGGCAAAAATGCACAAAAATCGCATGTGCATGTGTTATAAATGTGTTGTTTGGTACATTTTCCTTTGGGGCCTATGGAGCAAAAAATTTCTCTACAACTGTGCTAAAATAGCACCTTTTCCAAAAAATGTGCTGAACTGTGCTGCATTGATTTGAACGGGCGCCATATAAAATAATGTGGTTTCCATTGTCATGTGAGACTGTGCAACTGAAATCTCAACAATGTGAACCGTGACTTAATGATCAGGAGATGGCAGGATTGGCTGCTGATCTTGTGACCACAATGACAGCCAATCACAGTGGTCACGTGATCAAGAATTCTGTCCCACCTCCCATATAAAGGGATGCTGGGGCTGGGAAAGAAGGGGTTAAAGGAACATTCCAGTCAGACTTAAAAACTTTGCATTTAAAATTTTTCAGAAGACACAGACAAACCCAATGGCATTTATTTTTTCTTAGCACTAATTTTCTGTACTTTTCTGTGCTTCCTTGCTATACTGTATGCACATACACTGACTATTCTCTGAAAATCACTGAATCCAAACTTACAAATTTGTTGACCAGAGTGTTCCCTGGTTCTGAGCACTTACCTCTGCACATCAAAGAATCATGTGACAAGAAGCTGCAGTCCCAATTAGAAGCCCTGTGGGGAGCTCAATAAAATTAGTTGCTTTGCATTTATATAAAATTTTAGATATGGTAAATACTGTAAGTGAATCTTCTATCAGTTTATTGTTTTGAATTTTTCCTGAAGTTTTCCCAGGTTTATTATGTGTCAGTTGTTCTAATTTATTGTCTCTTGTTTTTTAAGAAAGGTGAAGCTGATGCAGTGAAACTTGAGCCACAATACATGTATGAGGCTTTGATCTGCGGACTGCTGCCAGCAGTAGAAGAATACCACAATAAAGGTAAGAACAAAAGATAAAGGTTTAGTAAATACACTACCACATCATTACGATGTCAATATTGACAAATATTATTATTGGTTAGCTCATGAAAAAAAATGAGTCAAAAAATATAATACTTTCTGAGAAGAGCTTAAAGCCCCAACATTTTGATTATATTTTTAAATAGATAGCCCAGCAATTCCATACCAAAAATGCAGCTCTCACTTTTTCAGGAGTCCTTCATAGATTCAGCCTTTCTGTGATCCAGGACTGGCCCTTTACCAGGTTGAATGACTCCCGGTACCATTTAACTAACCTGCTGGTGTGCAGGGTGTCATGGACCCGGACTCTGAGGATGTGTCACCACAACACCCTGCTATCACAGTACAATGATGCAGAGAACACTGGTTAGCAACATGGTGAGCATCATTGAGAACTGCCCAGCATCAAGGAAGAGGAAGGGAACCCTGCAATTCATGTAACTGCCCTGAAGACATCTGATAAAAGTCAAAACAAGTACTGCGTTGGGGGGAACAGAGCCCCATCATTGGTGTTAGTGGGAGGAATCGTGCCACATCACTGTTTTCAGTGGGAGGATTAATACTCCATTATTGGTATCAGTGGGGGGAATAGTGCCCCATCATTGGTTTCAATGGGAGGAATACTGCCCCATCATTGCCAACAATGGGACACTATTCCTCCCACTGATGCCAACAATGGGAAACTATTACTCCCATTGATACCAATGATGGGGCACTATATTTTCCCTTAATACCAATGATGAGGCATTGTTTACTTTGATGCCACTGATGCCAGGACATTTTCTTCTCTCACTGGCCACAGTCCAGCCCCCCTAAAGTAAACAGTAAACTGGCCCTTCATTTATAAAGTTTGGAGACCCCTGTCCTAGAGCATAATGAATACTCCTCCTAAAAGCGTTAACCAGTGCTTGACTGGACACTGGTTAAAGTCACAAGACTGCTCTATCTGCTGATTAGAAAAGGTATTTATCAGTTAATATTTAACATTTCCATGTTCTGTATACTGTGGGAAACCAGATAGAGTGAATCCACGGTCCTCGGTTTAGAAACACTTTAAGTCTGAATGACAGGAGGCAATGGGATTGGACTTTCTTTTATCTACACATTTGTAGGTTGCAGTGGGGCTGGGAGGTAGGGCATCCTGGAGGGAAGGAACACCACACACAGTGGTTGAAATACAGGAAATATATTGTCAAAAATGTTTTAACATACAGAAACAGCAGCAGCAAAGGAGTAGTAGGGGAAAGGTTCCCTACAGTAGCTCTGATGACAGTCCCTGTGCTGTCCCTCCTCTTCTGGAACCTCTGCTCTACACAAGGCACACTCTTCCTTCCCATCGGGTTCCTGGCCTGATCTAAAAATATGCAAAATGCGTGCCGACTGCAGTGAGCCAGAGCATTTTACAAGCATTGCTCTCACTAAAGATGGCCATGGGGGTCATCTGGGTGGCCGCTTCCAATAGGACAGCAGCCCATTGTCAGGAACATCTAGCGCTCCTGAACCATCACAGCTGCTGGTCTCATTTCAGCATCCTGGTTTTGACTGTGATACATTCTCCATTCCTGTCTACCTGCAAGGTGATTAATGTGACCGGTCACTGGGTGGAGAGCAAACCTGATTTAAGCCAGCCAATGCCTGCAGTCTCATGCTTGTAATATTGCGTTAGTAACACGTGCTGCTCCCCATTTGTCTGCCCTGCTGTTTCAAATCCTTTGATGACCTCGGATTGGATGTCAACTACTCTCTGAACTCTGCCTGCCTTTTGACTACGGATCTGTCCCTGACTGTTCTCTGAACCTTACCTGCTTTGTAACCTTACCTGCTTTGTACCTGGACTGTCATTGAACCACTCTGCCTGTCTGCCAACCACAAGTACTTGTTTGCTTTGCCCAGTTTGCACCTGCCCCTGCGTGGTGGCCAGGCACTATAGCATTGTGTATAAGTCCTGAGGGCAACCAAGTACTGGTAGGCCTGCTTGCCTTATGGGAAAGGGGGCTGCTATAGGTGAAGAACACAGATGCTAGCTATAGAGGCTGACCACTTGCATTAAGGGTAAACATGACATCCACCTGATGACACATGCGGAGGCCTAAGAGGAATGTGCATTTCTCCTGTCCTCCAGGTGCCATCTGCATAGGGAGAGGTTATACTACAGTGCCTAAACTTTTCTTATGATGACCAAATCTTCTGTTTGTGGACATGCACAAAGAGAAACAACAAAATACTACTTCTTGTTATTTCCACATTCTCTGTTTCATAGCATGTGGATATATGTGGTCATAAAGAACTGTGTCATCATCTGTCCATAGCAAATTAACTAGCCATGTTCAAATATGACTTGGGAATAGGGTGGGACCCCAAAAATGTATTCACTGCTGTATGCGGATATTAGAAAATGTGTTTCTTGGGACATTTATTCATCTTGTAGAGTGTATATTTTTATGCACTGTTTTTAATTAATATACATACTGGCTTTACAAGGCCAGTGGGTTCTGCCTTTTGCGTTGTATGCTATCAGACCACTCTGTCTGCTATAGGAACTGTCATTCATTGTAAAGCGTGAGTTAGAAACTATGGATCTTAACATTTTCTCAGGATACTTTGACTATGCCTGAAAAGCCATGGAATTTGTCCAGTCCTTTATAGCATGGTAACTATTACAGTGATTCGGGCAGCATAACTGAGGTGGATTTAGGGGAATATATTTACTATGTGCAGTTACGTGTACACCAGGCTGTTCTCATGTCCTCTGTGTATACAAAATGAGTTGTGGGATGCTAAAAAAGGGGGGGCTTTGATGCAGAAGGGGAACTCTGATACAGAAGGGGGGACTCTGACAAGGAAAGAGGGCACTTTGATGTAATAGGGGGCTTCTGATGTGAAGGGGTGACTTATGTGAAACTGGGAATTCTGATGTGATGGGGGTTTCTGAAGTGAAGTTATTTCTTGGAGTATATTTTTCTCATTCATTTAAAATGTATTAATTCATTTATAATACAGATTTTTTTTTCTGCACACAAAATATTTGTAAAATATACAATGTGGCTCTGGAACTGAAAAGTTTGGAGAGCCCTGCAGTAGACTGTATAAATTTTAGTTATTCATTTGCACATTGCCCTTAAGTCTGATGTAGTGTGTTCTTACTTTTGCAGATGATTTTGGTCCTTGTAAAACCCCTGGAACACAAATAAAAGGTATTAATAATGGCATGCTACTTTATTTTGAACAATTTAAAGAGCTGTGATATTCATTATCAATAACAGTTTTCTTTCCTTCATAATTGCCCAAAAGTAATTATATCATGTACAGGCCTTCTTATACGTGGATATGTATACATGGATACTATACTGGAAAACTCACTTTATACTGTACATTTCTAAAACTTAGTTTATTGGGATAGATCGGGGATGTAAAAAGTATTAAAGGGGTAAGAAGTGTAGAAGTGGGAACATTTTTAAAAGGCACCAAAAAAGTAGTACAACCCTTAGTAAAAGGTATGGAATCGCCACTCTTGGAAAATATTCAATTGTTTAATTGTGTAAAAAAAAAAATAATCACAGACATGCCTCAAAACCGTTTTCATTTAACATTTTAACCTTCTGGCTTTAAGAAACGCTTTTAAAAAAATAAAACTGAAGTCAGTTGCAATTGTTTTTGCAGATCAAGCAAAAATATGGAATCACACAATTCTGATGAAAATATTATGAAATAATGAAACAAAACACTACAGTACACCACTAGTAGTTTGTTGCACCATCTCTGGCTTTTATAACAGCTTGAATTCTCTGAGGCATGGATTTAACCATCGACAAACAGTATTCTTCATCAATCCGGCTCCAACTTTCTCCTATTGCAGTTGCCAGATCAGCTTTGTAGGTTGGAGCATGGACCATTTTCTTTCATTTCCACTATAGATTTTCAATTGGATTGAGGTCCATACTATTTGCAGGTCATGCCACTGACATTATGGCCCTGATTTACTAATGTGCCTAGATACATTTCTGTGGACTAACGTCTGCTTTTCAATAGAGTCCGTCTACTTTTAGACTGCAAAGACATTTACTAAAGAGAGTCTAACAAGTAGACTCAAAATCGAATTTACTAACCAGGCACAATCCAGGAATCAGTCTAAGAAAGCAGACGTGCTAGAAGCACGTCTAACACCACGAAAATTCACTGCAGAGACATGTTCACATTGAAATTTGCTTTCGCAAATATCGGGACTTCACTTTAAACAATATCTTACATTTCAAAATATTTTTTCAATGGGTAAAAAATATTTTTTTAAGGGAATTCATGACAGTCAAGAACTAGACACTTTTCCAGCGTCTATGCAGGGATAGAAATGAGCATGTGCAGAACACATTTTAGCCGTCTGCCATGGTTGCTTTCTTTTTAGACGCTGTTTAATAGTAAATCTCTGTGTGGAGTCCTCTGCAAGTCATCACTCGATCGCGTCTACTGTGTTTAACAAACAGCAGTATTTGTAGCTTGGCATGTCTTTATGTATTCTAATTTGATTTCCTTAGTTCTATTGATTCTGTTTTTGTTTCTTATCCTTTATAATTATTTCTGTAATGGTTTTACATATTTCGAAGGTCTAGATAATATATATTTTGACAGCTGAATCTAAAAATAAAGGTCGGCAATAAAAAAAAAAAATAAAATTATAATATAGGTGTGATTTTTATTTTAAATTATAAGTATTCTCATATGCAAACAGATAAACGCCAAAGGCACAAAGCCCATGGTTGTGCGCCACCTAGCGAACATATCCGGCATTGCATCTAGAAATGTGCACAACGTCATTACATATTTACGAACAGGAAAGAGTCGAAAGTAGACTCTTTTTAATCAGCTTGCTGGGTGCCTTTCTGAAGACTGACAAGTCTTGATTGATTGAATTGAGTCTGCCTGAATGTTCAGCATCTGCTGGTAGACTCAATTCTTAATAAATCAGGGCCTATATGTCTTTCTTGAAGGAAAAGTTTTACGGCTTTTGCCCTATGGCAAGATGCATTATCATTCTCATTGCCAAACATCCTTTCAACTTATGGAAAAAAGAAAAGTGTCCAAAAAACTCCATTATAAACTTTATTTTGAAGATTTAATGACCATCATCTCCCCCATACCTTTACCTGACATGCAACCCTATATCATCAATGATTGTGGAAAATTGCATGTTTTCTTAAGGAAGTTGTCTTTATGCATATTATTGGAATGACACCAAACAAAAATTCCAGCATCATCACCCTGCCCAATGCAGATGTGTGATTCATCACTGAATATCATCCAGTCATCCACAGTCCATAATTGTTTTTCTTTAGCCCACTGTAACCTTGTTTTTTTTCTGTTTAGGTGTTAATGATGGTTTTTGTTTGGCTTTTCTGTATGTAAATCCCATTTCCTTTAGGTGATGTCTTATAGTTTGGTCACAGACATTAACTCCAGTTTCTGCCCATTTGTTTCTCATTTGTTTTGTTGTGCATTTTCTGTTTTTGAGGCATACTGCTTTAAGTTTTCTATCTTAACACTTTGATGTCTTCCTTGGTCTACCAGTACGCTTCTGTTTTACAACCTTCCCATTTGATTTGTACTTGGTCTAGATTTTAGACACAGCTGAGTGGGAACAACCAATATCTTTTGCAACATTCTGTGATGATTTACCTTCTTGAAGAGGTTTTATAATCCCCTCCTTTGTTTCAATTGACATCTCTCGTGGTGGAGCCATGATTCTGTCAATCAGCTTGGTACAACAGCTCACCAAGGTGTGCAAGCACTCTTTTTTTTTAACTTCAGACCAATTAGCAGATGTAATCTGATGCAGATGTTTGTTTTAGAACTGCAAAGTACATGGTGATTCCATAATATTTTCCTCAGAATTGAGTGATTCTATATTTTTTCCTCGGCTTGATCTGCAAAAACAGTTGCAATTGACTACAGTTTTCTTTATTTTTAATTTTTTTAAGTGTTTCTTAAAACCAGAAGGTTGGAATGTTAAATGAAAATAGTTTTGAGGCAAGTCTGTGATTGTTTTTTCTTTCTACACAATTAAACAATTGAATGAACATTTTCCAAGATTGGTGATTCCATACTTTTTGCCAGGGGTTGTACTATTGTTAGGATATAATCCTACGTGGAAGCTGTAATTCCACACTGACCTCCTCTAGGGGCTACAGCAATAGCTTTGAGTCTGACAATTTCAGACATCTTGGTAAAGGCAAATACCTTCAGGTGAGCCATGTACCCATACTTCAATCATTGCTGGATTTTGGCTGTAAGATGCTTTATCCTTACACATCCACTAGTAGCTGAATTTTGCCTTCACAATTCTTTAGAATTAATTTAGATAAATAATTTATTTAAAAGCAAACAGCATTTGTTTATGAATTACTAGAATCCCATGCATACTTATACTTTGCTATGCATGTTTCTTATTCCCTTTATTTATAATGTCGTATGATTAACAATGAGATTATTATATATTATATGCATAAAACACTCTACACCTTGGGGATGAATTAAAAAAAAAATTGCAGAGCTATTCATCCTGAATAAAGTGAATCAGATAATTGCTGCATTATGGCAACTAGATGACACTTATGATTATAGTACATAAACACTTATTTACTGTGATTGTCATCTAGTGGATATAAATGCAGTTTTTTTCATGTTCAATCTGGAAAAAAAAGTCTTATAACCTACGATTTTGCCCCATAAACAATTGCACGTATAGTTTCACAGGACAACTGACTCAAATCTTTTTTATAAATACACCACCATGTGTTGTTTATTTCCAATTGGCTCAATTGAATCATCGCATATGAATCATGTCTTTTTTTTTTCCTTTTTTATTGTACTTAATTTGATTAGTCTTATTTTATTTGGTACCGATCAGTGACTGTGCACATTCATATCTGAAACATAGTAAAATGTGTTTACTATGCTTCGGTTTGTGAATGAATGGGAAGCCACTCAGCACAGAGAACTTTTCATTCAATCATTATGTAAAGCAGCTGAGGCTGCAGAGAAAGGGACTGGGAAATCTCTGGCCTCAGTCCCTTTCTTTGGGTCTGTTTAGCCCCCCTGATATTTCATCAAAGCCCCCAACAGGCTCCTAAAAAAAATTGTAAAAACATGTTAAAAATTGAAAAAAAAATTGTAACACTATCATTGCTTTTAACAGTAATAACCACTGTTATAAGCAATCATTTTTATGACTGGTATCCGTTCATTGCCATTGTATATTACCGTAATAGCTGTGATTGGCCAGAGCTATTGCATGGTACAGATGTGCTGTGATTGGTCCTGTTTGTACCATGTGATTGCTGTGACCAATCACAGAGACATCACAACAGTACACAATGGATGACTATGAATGAAAGCCATTCATTGTATACAACTGTCATGTGATCACTGTGATTGGTCACAGCAATCGCATGGTACCAGGGCTGGCCCAGTACAATGACGTATCTTCTGATATGTCCAGTGGACACAGAGGATGACAGATATTGCCGCAGTGTGACCCCATATGACATCCACCCAGATTTAGAAAGCTCACGCTCGGCCGTCTGTTTACTATAGGCCAGGTGAGAGGTAGATAGACGGTAGCAATTAGAATATACTGTACAGTTGGTAGTAAGCTAATGGTCTAGAGGATGACCCCTAAACTCTATACTGTTATAGCAACAGTCTGTCAGCCTATAGAAACCCCTCTCCCTGCTGGCCAGCATGTTGGGGCCCAAATCTGGCATTGGATTGCTTTAAGATGAGTTTTTCTTAACCAGGTTATAGGTGACTACACTGTGTTACAAGCAAATAATACTTTTCCTCTTTAACTTCTTGCCGACCGCAGATAGCGAATGACGGCTGCACTGCGGCCGGGTCAGTTCTGGGTGGACATCATATGACATCTTCCCAGAACGCGCTCTCCTGCACGCCCCCGGGGGCGCGCACCCGACGATCTCCGTGATCGCTGTGTCCTACGGACACAGCTGATCACGTGACGTGGTAAAAGGCTAATCACAGTGGCCTTTTACCACGTGATCAGCCGTGTCCAATGACACGCTGATCACAGGGAAATGCAAATGCCGGTTCTCGGCTGCACTTTCCTCACGCTGTCAAATCGTGAGGAAAGTACTGCCGAGAACCGGCAGTTGTCAGAGCAGGGATCGGCACCGATCATCAGGGCACTGATCATCAGTGCCCTGATGATCGGTGCCCAGCAGTGCCACCCACAAGTTATCTGCCCACCTGTGCCCCAGTGCGCCCACATGTGCCCATGTGCGCCCACCTGTGCCCAGCAGTGCACCCACCTGTGCCCAGCAGTGCCCCCACCTGTGCCACCCAGCAGTGTCACCACCTGTGCCCAGAAGTGCCACCTACCCGTGCCCAGTAGTGCCACCCACCTGTGCCCACCCACCTGTGCCCACCAGTGCCACCCACCTGAGCACACCAGTGACACCCACCAGTGCCCATCAGTGCAGCCCAGCAGTGCTGCCAGTCAGTGCCACCAGTCAGTGCCCAGCGGTTGTGCCAGTCAGTGCCCAGCATTGCCGCCAGTCAGTGCCCAGCAGTGATGCCAGTCAGTGCCACCTATCAGTGCTGTCTATCAGTACCCATTATCAGTGTCGCCTATCAGTGCCACCAATCAGTGCCGCATATCAGTGCCACCTATCCGTGACACCTCATTAGTGCTGCCTATCAGTGCCACCTATCCGTGCCACCTTATTAGTGCTGCCTATCAATGCTGCCTATCAGTGCCCCATCAGTGCTGCCATCATCAACGCACATCAGTGAAGGAGAAAAATTACCTGTTTGAAAAATTTATAATAGAAACAAAAACTTTTTTTTTTTCAAAATTTTTGGCACTTTTTTTTGTTTATAGCGTCAAAAAGTAAAGTGCCCAGCAGCAATTAAATACCACCAAACGAAAGCTCTATTTGTGAGAAAAAAACGATAAAAATTTCATATGGGTACAATCTTGCATGACCGCACAATTGTCAATCAAAGTGCAACAGCGCTGAAAGCTGAAAATTGGCCTGGTAAATAAGGGGGTATAAGTGCCCGGTAGGCTAGTGGTTAAATGGAAACTATGGAGTTTTCCCAGCTTCTTCTCACCAGCTGTTTTACTTCATGGGCTCAGCAATCAGCAGGGGCATTCACCCCAATGATCAGGAGATAGCAATTGTCAGTGACAGTGGCATTCTCCCTAACAATCAGATGGCAGCACTGGTCAGTGACAGTGGAATTCTCATTTACCAGGAGATATCTGCTATCCCACATCTCTGTGTCCCTGTGATGCAAGGGTGAAAGGTTCTGTCCATCATCCACAATGTGCTCAACACATTCCCCTCAAGCCTGAAAACAAACATTTCTCTCCACAGAGAGGTAATGCTAGGATATGTTGTCCATCCTCCAATCTGAAAACAAAGGTTTAGGCTGTCTGGAAACTATGTACAGTGAGGAACAGAAGTATTTGAACACCCTGCGATTTTGCAAGTTCTCCCACTTAGAAATCATGGAGGGGTCTGAAATTCACATTGGAGGTGCATTCCCACTCTGAGAGACAGAATTTAAAAAAAAAATCAGGAAATCACATTGTATGATTTTTAAAGAATTTATTTGTCTTGCACTGCTGAACATAAGTATTTGAACACCTGAGAAAATCAGTGTTAATATTTGGTACAGAAGCTTTTGTTTGCAATTACAGAGGTCAAACGTTTCCTGTAGTTCTTGACCAGGTTTGCACACACTGCAACAGGGATTTTGGCCCACTCCTCCATGCAGATCTCCTCTAGATCTGTTAGGTTTCGGGGTGTTGCTGAGCAACACGGAGTTTCAGCTCCCTCCAAAGATGTTCTATTGGATTTAGGTCTGGAGACTGGCTAGGCCACTCCTAGAACCTTGATATGCTTCTTACGGAGCCACTCCTTGGTTATCCCGGCTGTGTGGTTTTGGGTCGTTGTCATGTTGGAAGACCCAGCCATGACCCATCTTCAATGCTCTGAGTGGGGAAGGAGGCTGTTGCTCAAAATCTCACAATAAATGGCCCCATTCATCCTTTCCTTAATACAGTGCAGTCGTCCTTTCCCCTTCGCAGAAAAGCACCCCCAAAGCATGATGTTACCACCCCCATGCTTCACAGTAGGGATTGTGTTCTTGGGATGCAACTCATCCTTCTTATTCATCCAAACACGACGAGTGAAGTTTAGACCACAAAGTTCTACTTTGGTCTCATCTGACCACATGACTTTCTCCCATGCCTCCTCTGGATCATCTAGATGGTCATTGGCAAACTTCATACGGGCCTGGACATGTGATGACTTGAGCAGGGGAACCTTCCGTGCTATGCATGGTTTGAAACCATGATGGCATAGTGTTCGAACGACAGTGACCTTTGAAACTGTGGTCCCAGCTCTCTTCATGTCATTGACCAGCTTCTCCCTTGTAGTTCTGGGCTGATTCCTCACCTTTCTTATCAATCAGTGATACCCCATGAGGTGAGATCTTGCATGGAGCCCCAGTCCGAGGGAGACTGACAGTCGTCTTTAGCCTCTTCCATTTTCTAACAATTGCTCCAACAGTTGATCTATTTTCACCAAGCTGCTTGGCAATTGCCCCGTAGCCCTTTCCAGCCTTGTGGAGGTCCACAATTTTGTCTCTGGTGTCTTTTGACAGCTCTTTGGTCTTGCCCATGGTAGTATTTGGCGTCTGACTGACTGTGGGGTGGACAGGTGTCTTTAAAGAGCTCAGACAGGTGCTACTAAGTTAGATTAATGAGTGGAGTAGAGGTGGACTTTTTAAAGGCATAGTAACAGGTCTTTGAGAGCCAGAATTCTTGCTGTTTCATAGGTGTTCAAATACTTATGTTCAGCAGTGCAAGACAAATAAATTCTTTAAAAATCATACAATGTGATTTCCTGAATTTTTTTTAATATTCTGTCTCTCATAGTGGGAATGCACCTACAATGTGAATTTCAGACCCCTCCATGATTTCTAAGTGGGAGAACTTGCAAAATCGCAGGGTGTTCAAATACTTCTGTTCCTCACTGTATCTCACAAGTTATAGTTGCTCCCTACAGGCTCTGTCCTTCCCACAATCTGCAGCAGTCCATATCCCTTTCCTCTGTGTCCTCCTTCAGCCAATCACCAGCCATACATATTGGCTCACCCAAAATTGCTACCCCCAGGGTTGAAAACACTCCATAGCTTAGCAATATTTGTGGTCTTCTCCAAAATGGTCACTACAGCTCAGCATTGCAGGGAATACTTTTACCCTCCTTGTGCCACAGGTAGGGCCAAAGCTTCCAAACAGGGGAAAAACATCTATAACTACTGCAAATCTAGCTACGATGTTAAAGTGGTTCTAAAGCATTAAGGTTTTTCACCTTAATGCAGCTGCTGCTGCTGTCAATCAAATGCTGTGACATGGCAACAGGGGATGGGGCTGAGCCGCCTGTTCTGAGTCAATGGATGCAGACAGGGCAGCTTGGGAACGAACCCACAACCCCCATGGAAAATGGCTTCCCATAGGGGTACAGACTGAAGGAACCAGGAGCACCAGCGGGGGACCCTAGAAGTGGAGGATCAGGGCTGCTCTGTGCAAAACCATTGCACAGAGCAGGCAAGTAGACATGTTTTGTTATTTTAATGTTAAAAAAAAGTATTATTATTATTATTAAACTGCATTGTTGGTAAGCGTCAAGGGCATATGTATTTTACACTTGCACAAAACATTTAATCTAGGTACACATATGATTCAATATAATTATTATTATTATTCCTTTTGGTTTAGATTTTGGGACAACGCGTGCTGTAGCCTTGGTAAAAAAAAGCAACAAAGACATCAACTGGAACAACCTTAAGGGCATGAAGGCCTGCCATACTGCTGTTGGTGATATTACTGGATGGGTTGTCCCAGTTGGTCTTATTAGGAGGCAGAACGACAACTGTGACATTGGTGAGTACAGCTCAGATATAGATATTGTTGATATTGGTAGACATGAGCGGTTCGTTTTGTCAGAAATCGAAATTCAGATGAGATTTGGATTTATCTAAATTTTTGAATTACAATAGAAAAAATGTAAAGGAATCCGAAATAATGAAACAAAATTTCATCGAAATAACAAATTATCCAAATTTGAAAACTGAATTGAATTTGAAAACAAATTCAAAAACCATATTGCTGACTATTTCTAATTTCTTTTAAAGACTGTGTGTATATGAATATAGCTGTCTTCCACAATTCTAATTTAAAAAAGAATAGAATAAAGCAGAATAGAATAGAAAATAAAAGAATAGAACAGAATACAATAGAATAAAAAAAATACAACAGAATAGAAAAGAATAGAAAATAAAAATAGAATAGAAAAAAACAGAACAGAGAAAAATAGAATAGAATAAATATAACGGTCTTTTGGATTTTGAATTTTGAAATTCGAATTTCAAATAGAATGGAAAAGAATTAAATAGAAAGCATATAGCCGTCTTCCCAAATACACATTTCAAAAAGAATAGAAGAAAACAATAGAATAGAAAAGAAACCAAATAAAATAGAATAGAGTAGAATATAATAGAAAACAACAGAATAGATTGATTATAGGTCAAAAATGAATAAATGAAACAAAACCAAACTAATAGAACAGAATAGAATAAAATATAAAAAAATAGGTAAAAAACGAATAAAAGATATTAAACAAATCTAAATTAAACTATGAATGCAACAAAACAAAATTAGTAACTTAAATTGATCCAAAACAAAACGAAAATATTTTTTTCATTCTGCACATGTGAGATGTGCAAAATGCCTCTACAGAACAAAAACGCAGTAAAGTGTTACTAAACCCCCAACAGTAAAATCAATCTGTATATGCAGTAAAGCATGCTTGTTATACTCACTGTGGAACAGAAGGGGTTAATCCTCTGCATTGTGTAAAAAGGCTGTTTGATCCTTTCTTCTCTGCCCCTCCTTTTGTTGAAATGATCACCTGATACAGACTGAATCCATAGTAACATGCTCATGCTCAGTTTGGTGTGCATTGCTAGTGAGGTTTTTTTTTTACTTGGGAGAGTGCATGTGATCAGCACAGGGCCAATCAGCACTGCCCAGACAGAGGGTCAGAGGTTTCACATTCTCCTAGAGCAGAAAGAAAACTCCTCCTACAAGTTTTAACCAGTGCTCTGCTGAAGTCACAAGACTGCTCTAACTGCTTTTGAGAAATTGTATTTGGCAGTTTATATTTACTAAAATAATTGCATTTCCATGTTCTGTATACTGTGGGAGACCAGATATAGTGAATACAGGAACCTGGGTTTCGTAACACCTTAACCTATTTTACAATTATTTATGTATTTGTTTAGCTAGTTACAACATTTAGTCTATACAGTCTATTTAAAGTTCAGCAACTCAAAAGCTTTTGCAGATAATAAATCATGGGTCTAGTCATGGGTTTAGTAACACTTTAACTAATCCTCACGTATGGCAGTCACCCAATAAAGGTTTTAACTAACTTTTATTCTTCTGCCCATGAAGAATAGACACGGGATAATGCACAAGTAAGCATTAGGGTTTTACCGAGTGGTTCAGTGACCATAGAAATACACAAGGCTGCAGAAGGCCTGTTTTACAGATGAGCAGTGAGCTACATAGCCAGTACATCATATCAGACTCTTGCATGCCACCAGTTATAGCTGAAAGCTATCTATGGAATATAGAGGTTAGAAGCTTAGGCAGAGGAGACATATTGGCATTACCAGCACTCATTACTGCCAGGGTCCAATGTTAAGTTTAGGAACTGACTGCCTGATTTGGTTTATGGCTTATACTGTGTTAATACTGGGCAGATTCCTTCTTCGGTGAAAGCTGTGCTCCTGGATCAGATACTAAATCCAACCTCTGTAAACTGTGCATTGGTGACCCCAAGAACCCCAAAGCCAATACAAGATGTTCTCCCAGCGATATGGAGGCTTATTATGGAGACGAAGGTGCCTTTAGGTAAAATAAATGAATATTTGTGCAGAAATAAAAAATGTTTTAGGACACACTGTTGTTCTAATCAGTTGGCAGCTTCCCTCAGTCTCTATCCTTACCATGTGAAGAAGATTATTTGTACTGTGTTTGTTGTTTATACAGTGTGATGTGAAGTCTTCATTTGAGAAAAGCAAAGTATGTTATGCATGTTATACCATGAACAGGTAACATTCTACACAATGAGCAAGGTACATTGTAATGGGAAGGGTACAGTCTGTACAATTTGATAGGTAGGGTACACAACTTACAATGTGAGAGAAAGGGTACAATAAATACAATGTGTTTGGCAGGATAGATGCAGGGTTCAATCTATACATTTTGATGGGTAGGGTACATTCTATACAATGGGATTGGCAGGATACATTTTCTAGAAAGTGATTGGCATGGCACATCCTGTGCAATGTAATAGGCAAGGTACATTCTGTAAAATGTCATAAGCAAGGTCCATTCTTTACAATCTAATAGGCAGGGAACATTCAGTACAATGTGATAAGCAGGATATATTCTAAACATTATGATGTCTTGTTGGGCAGGGTACATACTGCACATCGTGATGGCCAGGATACATTCTGTAGATCACATTGGGCAGGGTACATTGTGTACATTGTGATGGGCAAGGTACATCCGTACCTCATGATGGGCAGGGTACATTCTGCAGATCACGTTGGGCAGGGTACATTCTGTACATTATGCAGATCACGTTGGGCAGGGTACATTCTGTACATTGTGATGGGCAAGGTACATTCTGCAGATCACGTTGGGCAGGGTACATTCTGTACATTGTGATAGGCAAGGTACATTATGCAGATCACGTTGGGCAGGGTACATTCTGAAGATCATGTTGGGCAAGGTACATTCTGTACATCGTGATGGGCAGGGTACAATCTGTACCTCATGATGGGCAAGATACATTCTGTAGATCACGTTGGGCAGGGTACATTCTGTACATTGTGATGGGCAGGGTACATTCTGTAGATCATTTTTGGGCAGGGTACATTCTGTACATCGTGATGGGCAGGATACATTCTGTACCTCATGATGGGCAGGGTACATTCTGTACATTGTAATGGGCAGGGTACATTCTGTAGATCATGTTGGGCAGGGTACATTCTGTACATCGTGATGGGCAGGGTACATTCTGTAGATCATGTTGGGCAGGGTACATTCTGTACATCATGATGGGCAGGGTACATTCTGTACCTCATGATGGGCAAGGTACATTCTTTACAATCTAATAGGCAGGGAACATTCAGTACAATGTGATAAGCAGGATATATTCTAAACATTATGATGTCTTGTTGGGCAGGGTACATACTGCACATCGTGATGGCCAGGATACATTCTGTAGATCACATTGGGCAGGGTACATTGTGTACATTGTGATGGGCAAGGTACATCCGTACCTCATGATGGGCAGGGTACATTCTGCAGATCACGTTGGGCAGGGTACATTCTGTACATTATGCAGATCACGTTGGGCAGGGTACATTCTGTACATTGTGATGGGCAAGGTACATTCTGCAGATCACGTTGGGCAGGGTACATTCTGTACATTGTGATAGGCAAGGTACATTATGCAGATCACGTTGGGCAGGGTACATTCTGAAGATCATGTTGGGCAAGGTACATTCTGTACATCGTGATGGGCAGGGTACAATCTGTACCTCATGATGGGCAAGATACATTCTGTAGATCACGTTGGGCAGGGTACATTCTGTACATTGTGATGGGCAGGGTACATTCTGTAGATCATTTTTGGGCAGGGTACATTCTGTACATCGTGATGGGCAGGATACATTCTGTACCTCATGATGGGCAGGGTACATTCTGTACATTGTAATGGGCAGGGTACATTCTGTAGATCATGTTGGGCAGGGTACATTCTGTACATCGTGATGGGCAGGGTACATTCTGTAGATCATGTTGGGCAGGGTACATTCTGTACATCGTGATGGGCAGGGTACATTCTGTAGATCATGTTGGGCAGGGTACATTCTGTACATCATGATGGGCAGGGTACATTCTGTACCTCATGATGGGCAAGGTACATTCTTTACAATCTAATAGGCAGGGAACATTCAGTACAATGTGATAAGCAGGATATATTCTAAACATTATGATGTCTTGTTGGGCAGGGTACATACTGCACATCGTGATGGCCAGGATACATTCTGTAGTTCACATTGGGCAGGGTACATTGTGTACATTGTGATGGGCAAGGTACATCCGTACCTCATGATGGGCAGGGTACATTCTGCAGATCACGTTGGGCAGGGTACATTCTGTACATTATGCAGATCACGTTGGGCAGGGTACATTCTGTACATTGTGATGGGCAAGGTACATTCTGCAGATCACGTTGGGCAGGGTACATTCTGTACATTGTGATAGGCAAGGTACATTATGCAGATCACGTTGGGCAGGGTACATTCTGAAGATCATGTTGGGCAAGGTACATTCTGTACATCGTGATGGGCAGGGTACAATCTGTACCTCATGATGGGCAAGGTACATTCTGTAGATCACGTTGGGCAGGGTACATTCTGTACATTGTGATGGGCAGGGTACATTCTGTAGATCATTTTTGGGCAGGGTACATTCTGTACATCGTGATGGGCAGGATACATTCTGTACCTCATGATGGGTAGGGTACATTCTGTACATTGTGATGGGCAGGGTACATTCAGTAGATCATTTTTGGGCAGGGTACATTCTGTACATCGTGATGGGCAGGATACATTCTGTACCTTATGATGGGCAGGGTACATTCTGTAGATCACATTGGGCAGGATACATTCTGTACATTGTGATGGGGAAGGTATATTCTATACATCGTGATGGGAAGGGTACATTCTGTGCATTGTGATGGGAAGGGTACATTCTCTGCATTTTGATGAGCAGGGTACATTCTATACATCATGATGGAAAGGGTATATTCTGTACATAGTGATGGACAAGGTATAGACCAGTGGTCACCAACCTTTAAACACTCAAAGAGCCAATTGGACCCGTTTCCCACCACAAAAAAAAAACAAAAAAACACTGGGAGCCACAAAATCCTTATGACATCTAAAATGAAGATAACACTGCATATAAAAACAGTATTTTCTGGCATATAAGACTACTTTTTATACTTAAAAATATACCCCAAAAATTGGGGGTTGTCTTATACGCGGGATATAAAAATGTGAACCTTGAGTTTGTTTGGGTCAAGCTGGCTGGATGTGTGTGGTAATACTGTACATACAGTATACCGTGCTGGGCCAAGCTGGCTCAAAACAAATGTCCCTATGACATATTAATCTGTCAGCCCGCTGGATGTGCGGTATATACAGTATACTGCGCTGAGCCAAGCGGTTTCAAAACGTACCTACTGTAATCAGCCCGCTGGATGCGTGTATGTACGGTAGCTGCAGCTACATACAGTATACACTGGGCCAATCACGGCGAGTGATGTATTCTACTAAGGAATACAAAGCCTGCTCGGATTGGCTGAGTCAGAGAATTGGGCTGATGATGTCACAACCTCAGCCAATCCGAGCAGGCTTTGTATTCATTAGTAGAATACATCGCTTGCCGTGATTGGCCCAGTGTATACTGTATGTAGCCACAGCTACCGTACATACATGCATCCAGCGGGCTGATTACAGTAGGGACATACTGGTACGGTTTGAAACCACTTGGCTCAGCGCAGTATACTGTATATACCGCACATCCAGCAGGCTGACAGATTAATCTGTCATAGGGACATTTGTTTTGAGCCAGCTTGGCTCAGCACGGTATACTGTATGTACATTACTGCACATCCAGCGGGCTGTATATACAGTTGCAAGAAAAAGTATGTGAACCCCTTGGGATTACGTGGAGTTTTACATGAATTGGGCATAAAATGTGCTCTGAACTTCATCTACGTCACAACAATAGAAGAACACAGTCTGCTGAACATAATACTACACAAACATTAGATGTTGCCATGGTTTAATTGCACATAACATGTGAACATTCACAGTGCAGGGAGGAAAAAGTATGTGAGCCCTAGCTTAATGACTTCTCCCAGAGCTAATTGGAGCCAGGAGTGAGCCAACCTTGACTCCAATCAGTGTGATGATATTGGATGTGTTGCTGACAGCTGTCCTGCCCTTAAAAAACATACACCTGTTTTGGGTTTACTGGTTTCAAGAAGCACTGTCTGATGTGAATCATACCTTGCAGAAAAGAGCTCTCAGAAGACCTACGATCAAGAATTGTTGACTTGCATGAAGCTGGAAAGGGTTAAAAAAAGTATCTCCAAAAGTCTTGATGTTCATGTGTCCACGGTAAGACAGACTGTCTACAAATGGAGAAAGTTTAGCACTGTTGCTACTCTCCCTAGGCGTGATCGTCCTGTAAAAATGACTGCAAGAGCACAGCGCAGAATGCTGCATGAGGTAAAGAAGAATCCCAGAGTGTCAGCTAAAGACCTACAGAAATCTCTGGCACATGCTAACATTTTTGTTGACACATCTACAATAAGGAAAACATTAAACAAGAATGGAGTACATGGGAGGACACCACGGAGGAAGCCATTGCTGTCCAAAAAGAATATTGCAGCACGTTTGAAGTTTGCAAAAGAGCACCTGGATGTTCCACAGCACTACTGGCAAAATATACTGTGGACAGATGAAACCAAGATTGAGTTGTTGGGGAAGAACACACAACACTATGTGTGGAGAAAAAAAGGCACAGCACACCAACATCAAAACCTCATCCCCACTGTAAAACATGGCAGAGGGAGCATCACGGTTTGGGGCTGGTTTGCTGCCTCAGGGCCTGGACGGATTGTTGTCATTAATTGGAAAATGAATTCCAGAGTTTATCAAGACATTTTGCAGGAAAACGTACGACCATCTGTCCGCCAACCGAAGCTCCGCAGAGGATGGGTGATGCAACAGGACAATGACCCAAAGCATACAAGTAATTCAACAAAACAATGGCTGCAACAGCACAGAATACGCCTTCTGGAGTGGCCCAGTCAGAGTCCTGACCTCAACCCGATTGAAATGCTGTGGCATGACCTTAAGAGAGCGATTCACACCAGACATCCCAAGAATATTGCTACACTGAAACAGTTTTGAGAAGAGGAGTGGTCCAAAATTACTCCAGATCGTTGTGCAGGTCTGATCTGCAACTACAGGAAACGTTTGGTTGAGGTTATTGCTGTCAATGGAGGGTCAACCAGTTATTAAGTCCAAAGGGTCACATACTTTTTCCTCCCTGCACTGTGAATGTTTACATGTTATGTGCAATTAAACCATGGCAACATCTAATGTTTGTGTAGTATTATGTTCAGCAGACTGTGTTCTTCTATTGTTGTGACTTAGATGAAGTTCAGAGCACATTTTATGCCCAATTCATGCAAAACTCACGTAATCCCAAGGGGTTCAAATACTTTTTCTTGCAACTGTATACTGTATGTAGCCGAAGCTACCGTATTACTGCACATCCAGCGGTAACCATCTGATTTGGAATTTGATCCATATGATGACTGTCTTACAAATGTATCACAAGATGTCATTCATGAACTTATGATGTCAGAGGATGAACATGAGGATTTTGAAGGATTTTAAGTAGCGGTAAGTCATAACCATTTCATTAAAAATATGATGTTTTTAAATGGTGTTGCCTCGGAAGGGGGGTAGTCTTATACGGCGAGTATAGCCCAAAACCTATGTTTTAACTGGAAAATTAGGGGGTCGTCTTATACACCCAGTCGCCTTATACGCTGGAAAATACGGTAATTTGTTATCTTTATGCTATGTATAAAAACACTATATCACCTTTTGTCTTTGAACTCATCACAGGCGATTCAGTATGCCACAGCTGAATTTCTGCAGAATCCCACTCTTGTTTTTTCATGTCCGAGAATAGATATTCTGAAATCTTAATGAATGATTTTTTTTTTTTTTTATAATCATCATCTGTGAACGGCTTTCCATGCCTGACTATTTCCTGAGCGGCCACAAAACTTGCATGTGTAGTTGTATTTGCAGACTTCATCCACTTGAAATGATTTTTGCTCAAATCAGCTCCAAAATGGCTTTCCTTGTCTCATCTCCATCCGGATATTTTTCAGCAAAGGCTGCATGTTTATTCTGGAAATGTCTTGTAACATTCGACTTTTTGTTGTTTTCCAATTTCTTACCACATATTAAGCATACCGGTAAAACAGTCTCGTCGGTAGTGAAAACAAATGAATATGCCCACGAACTATTAAACGTTCTGTTTTCTTCTGAAACTTTTCTTTTCTTGGATTTATCCATGGTTTGCTGCCCTAGCAGGGTGACTGCCCTATCACAATAAATCTTGTGCCGATGGGGTGTCCGGCGGGATGTCCGGTGGGGTGTCTCGCATTGGTGGATGTGACGTATATCTTCAGTGACAGGGAGACGCAGCAGAGTGATGACGGAGCCACATGCAGCTCCGGAGCCACGGGTTGCTGACCCTGGTATAGACAAACAGATAAGAGTTTTGATGGAACCTGATTAGAAAGTTACAGTGTTTAGTTGTAGGACTGGTGACATGAAGGAATTTCTATTTATACTGTGTGATGAAGTGGAGTAGGATTGGTTCATAATATACAATCATTTTTTATATTATAATTTCATTTTCTATTGCTTTGATTCTGTTTTAGATGTCTAGTGGAAAAAGGAGAGATGTGGCATTTGTGCCTCACACTGTTGTATTTGAAAACACAGATGGTAAGCAAATAATTTGATACAAAAGGGAAGAGGTGGGGAGCACTGGAAGACGATTCAGATATGCAACCCAACAGATGGTCATATAAATAAAAAAGATAAATGGGATAGGTTGTGGGCTATTGAAGTAAAAAGTCTATATTTACAAAAAAGTCCTTATATGTACAAGTCCAAAGGTGAATAACTTCTCCTAATGGATGTTGATCCCGGCATGTATGGAGTAGATGGCAGCAAGCTGTTAGAGCAAGAAGCAACTCTAATGCACAGAAGGAAAGGGGAAACACAGTGGTGCCACTCTACAGTAAGTGTAGATGTGCTTAAAACCAAACGTTTAATAAGGTAAACAACTCACAAGGATATAGTGTAAGATCGCAATAATAAGCCACTCCCAGCGGTTCAGGTCTGGATGCTGGATGCCGTGCAGTCCTCCTCATCCTGGTATCCTGGGCTCCAGGAGTGGCCTACCCATTTTGGGAATCCTTCTTCAGGAGCACACTTGACAGAATCAATACGCTGATCAGTACCCAATCCTAATCTTTAATAGAGTAATCTGTAGGGTAGATTGGAATTCAAAGCATGTGCATGTTACCCGTTGAGGTACAAATGAGTAGACCAAGGAGAAGCTGCTGCCTCCTGCGTGGGAAATTCAGTTACATTCAGTAAACAGCCAGTGGTCCTGTATATATATTCAGGATCAGGGGGTGTGAGCTCCTGCTTTAGTAACACGTGAATAAGGGTGTAATGCAACATGTTACTAAAGGTGAACTTATCCTTTAAAGATTTAGTTTTCATTGACTTCAGTGGAATTTGGATTATTATTCAGAATTTGTGAGCTATTTGACTTTAAGTGTTTGACTGAAATGACTTGTATCTTGCAGGTAAAAATCCAGCAGAGTGGGCTAAAAATTTGAAATCAGAAGATTTTGAACTATTATGTTTGGATGGCACACGTGCCCCTGTCAGTGAGCACAAGGGTTGCAAACTTGCAGGCATCCCACCTCGTGCCATTGTCACTCGGGAGAAGAGCATCAGTGATGTTGTAAGAATTGTTACTAATCAACAGGTAAATAGTTTTTACTGTTTCCGCTTAGAATGTACATAAATTGCAGGGAATCTGATCAGTGTACACAATATCCTTGTAGGTCATAGTTTTTACACACCACATCTTCTTCTTCAACAGATCTTCTGCTGTATACATTTTGTGTAAACATGCTCCAAACTAGCCTTTTTTTTTTAGCTCCTTTCCCAGCCAGCACTCACAGCAGTCTAACTAGGACTTTACCTCTCATCTGAGCGGCACCCATTTTTCGAATTTTTTTGATTTTGGTGTTTTTTTATGACTGACTACTAGACATGTGCACACTAGAAAATTGTACTTTGTTTCATTTTCAGATCCATTCTTTAATTGAAGTATTCATTTTCAGATTCATTCGCTAATGGACTTATTCATTTTCAGAATTTGCTTCATATCTCATCTGTTTTGTTTTATTCGGAATAGCACATGTTGTTATGATGTGGGTGACCACCACGTCCTTAACAACCATGACTCATCTGCTGTCAGAGGGATTCCCCGCTGTCAGCAGAATGTAAACAAAAGAAGTGTCAGTAAAAAAAAAGTGTGGGAAGCCCCCCAATCTATTCCAGACCCTTTGGGTCTGATTTGGATTTTGAGGGGAGCCCCATGTCAAAAGTAAAAAGAAAATGGTGTAAGATCCCCCCAAAATCCATACCAGGCCCTTATCTCAGCATGCAGCTCGGCAGGCCAGGAAAGGGGAGAAAGAATGACCCCCCTCGTGAACCATAACAGGCCACATGCCCTCAATATTGGGGGGGGGTACTTTGGGGGAGGGGGGCTCCCTTACCTCAATGCACCTTGTCCCCATGTTGATGGGGATAAGGGCCTCTTCCCCTACAACCCTGTGAGGTGGTTGTGGGGGTTGGCAGGTGGGGAGGCTTATTGGAATCTGGAAGCCCCATTAACAAATGGGCCCCCAGATCCTGGTCTTCCCTTCTGTGAATGAGTAGGGGTATGTAGTACCCCTACCCATTCACCAAAAAAGTATCAAAAGTAAATAAAAACAAATATTTTGACAAGTCCTTTATTAAAATAAAATGTTCCACAAAGTAGATCCAAAGACAATCATGATGAACACCGCCCCACATGAAAAGAAAAAACCCGGCCGAACACGATGTATCCATCCAAAAACACACAATGAATGACAGGTGAACATGGGGACGGGGTGACCCCACCTCCATGTCTACCTGTCATTGGGTGAGTGTCTCTCCACGGGACACGTTGAAACGTCATATTTGCCAAATGGCAGGTAGACATGGGGGCAGGGTATTGTGGTCACAATTGTGGTATTGTGACCATATAATTAAGGCCATTTTTCAGGTACAGGGGACTTTTACAGTAATGTGGCCTTTTCCTGCTTATGTTAGACAACTGATGGAAAAGGATGGTTGAGGTACTTCACAGATGCTTTTTTATACTATAGAACACAATCAGAATGGCTAAAATAGACTACAAGAGACACATGGCGGAGGAGAATATAAAAACTCAAGAGATTTTTTAAATATAAAATATCGAGCTCAGAACATATTGGCCCCTTAAAAGATGATGAAGGGATGTTGGTTACAAATGACAAGGAGAAGGCAACTGTACTAAACTCATTCTTCTCCTCAGTTTTTACAGGGGAAAAGGAGGGGTATAGTATTCAAGACTGTATTATTAGTAACACATCGTAGAATGTACCTTATGGTCTAACTGAAGTTCTAACAGTGTCTGAAAAAGATGAAAATCTTATAGCCAGACCACTATTCCTAATTTTTATGGACAGCATACCGACAGGAATGGTACCATCAGATTGCTGAAGGGCCAATGCGGTGCCAATATTCAAAAAAGGGCAGAGACATATACCTGGGAACTACAGACCAGCTAGTCTAACATCAATAGTATGTAAACTATTGGAGGGGATAATAAGGGTCAATATCCAAGAATTTGCTGAGGAAAACAGTATAATTGGTAGCATGCAACATGGATTTACGAAAGGCCATTCTTGCCAAGCCAAACTGTTAACATTTTACGAGAAAGTGAGCTGGCCATCTAGATAAAGGAAGGGCGGTGGATGTGGTGTACCTGGATTTTCCAAAAGCATTCGGTACAGTTCCACATAAATGCTTAATCTACAAAGTGAGGTCTGTAGGCTTGGACCAGAGGGTTTGTTCGTGAATAGAAAACTGGTTACAAGGACCCATCCAATCGATGGAGATAAATAGCGAGTATTCAGACTGGTCTGAAATGGTAAGTGGGGTATCACAGGGCTCTGTCCTGGGACCAATTCTGTTTAATTTCTTCAAAAATGATACAGAGGTTTGGTATAAGGCTCAATCTCAGTGTTTGCTGATGATACAAAGCTAAGTAGGGCAATAACTTCACAGCAGGATATAGAAACTTTACAAGAAGACCCCAATAACATATTGGGGTGGGCAACTACATGGAAAATGTAAAGTAGTGCACTTGGGGGCTAAAAATATGAGCACAAGTTATTCACTAGAGGAAGAACCTCTGGGGGAATCCAGGATGGAAAAAGATCTGGGGGTCCTAGTAAATGACAGGCTCAGCATTGGCATGCAATTCCAAGCTGCAGCAAGCAAAGCTAGCAAAATATTAGCATGCATTAAAAAAGGAATTTACTCCATAGATTAACCTCCCTAGCGGTCTGATTATGTCCATATTTCTGTGCTCAAAGCGGTACATTTTTTTGCATGGAAATATGTATTTTTTTATTGTAGGCCTGTAATTTTTAGGAATAACTCACTGAAATCTGTCCGAACAAGAGTCTAGTAAACATTCCGGGTATGATAAAATTTGAATCATGAAACCATAAATTATAGTTTAATAAATAATCATAAAATATAATAATATAATAATAATACATTTAATTTAATAATTTAATCAAACCAAAAACACTGAAATTTGAAATAGAGCACCAAGTTCGCACATCACTGAGCAAAGTCGCAAAATCGTTTTCAGTGTCTGATGACGAATTTCACCACAAATCATCACTCAATTCTACAGTTCTAATTTACTATCGCTGTTCTCTAGCTGGTCTAAAACAGATTTTGACCTAAAGGGACGCTTTTTGGATGCCATGAACATTTCTCAGTTTCAAGGCAGAAAGAACAGTAAAAATGCAGGCAGGGCACAGGACAAAGCACTAGGGACAAAATGTATGTGAAATGGTTTGATACAGTAATGTTTTACTATGTGATTTTAGTGAATTTAGTGAATGCCACTTTTACAATTTTCAAATTTTCTGGCCATTCCATCCCCCGTACGTCCCGATGTCGCAGGGAACGGAACCCAGAAGACAGATTCCGGCATCGGCCGGAGGACATTGCCAGGGACACTGCAGGGGGACATCGCGGGATCGCAGGACAAGGGAAGTGCAGAAGAGAGATCCCGGAGCAATGCTGCAAGGTATTCCCGAGTGTAGCTCGGGGTTACTGGTTGTGGTGCTGAAACTTTACCCCGAGCAACACTCGAGAATACCTCCAGGGAGGTTAAAGGATAATCCCACCACTTTACAAAACTCTGGTTCGGCCATATCTGGAGTATGCAGTCCAGTTCTGGCCACCAGTCCTCGGGAAGGATGTGTGGGAACTGGAGAGATTCCAGAGAAAGGCAACTACGTTAATAAGTGGACTGGAGGACCTCAGTTACAAGGAATGACTACAAACATCAAACGTATTCTCCATGGAAGAAGCATTTGATCGTTTTAAAACACTCATGGATGGGTATCTTGATGAGCACAGTATACAGGGATTCGGGCAATGATATTGACATGAACACACACCCACACAGGTTGAACTGGATGGACTGGTGTCTTTATTCAACAACGCTGAAGAAATGACACTTTGCTACAATGTAAAGTAGTGAGTGTACAACTTGTATAACAGTGAAAATTTGCTGTCCCCTCAAAATAACTCAACACACAGCCATTAATGTCTAAATCCCTGGCAACAAAAGTGAGTACACCCCTAACTGAAAATGTCCAAATTGGGCTCAAAAGTGTCAATATTTTGTGTGGCCACCATTGTTTTCCAGCACTGCCTTAACCCTCTTGGGCATGGAGTTCACCAGAGCTTCACAGATTGCCACTGGAGTCCTCTTCCACTCCTCCATGACGACATCACGGAGCAGGTGGATGTTAGAGACCTTGCGCTCCTCCACCTTCCATTTGAGGATGCCCCACAGATGCTCAATAGGTTTTAGGTCTGGAGACATGCTTGACCAGTCCATCACTTTTACCCTCAGCTTCTTTAGCAAGGCAGTGGTCATCTTGGAGGTATGTTTGGGGTTGTTATCATGTTGGAATACTGCCCTGCAGCCCAGTTTCTGAAGGGGGGGGGGGGATCATGCTCTGCTTAATTATATCACAGTACATGTTGGCAGTCATGGTTCCCTCAATGAACTGTAGCTCCCCAGTGCCAGCAGCGCTCATGCAGCCCCAGACTATGACACTCCCACCACCATGCTTGACTGTAAGCAAGACACACGTATCTTTGTACTCCTCACCTGGTTGCCACACACACACGCTTCACACCATCTGAACCAAATACGTTTTTCTTGGTCTCATCAGACCACAGGACATGGTTCCAGTAATCCATGTCCTTAGTCTGCTTGTCTTCAGAAAACTGCGGGCTTTCTTGTGCAACATCTTTAGAAGAGGCTTCCTTCTGGAACGACAGCCATGCAGACCAATTTGATGCAGTGTGCAGCGTATGGTCTGAGCACTGACAGGCTGACCCCCCCCCACCCCTTCAAACTCTGCAGCAATACTGGCAGCACTCATACATCTATTTCCCAAACACAACCTCTGGATAGGACACTGAGCACGTGCACTCAACTTCTTTGGGCGACCATGGCGAGGCCTGTTCTGAGTGGAACCTATCATGTTAAACCGCTGTATGTTTTGGGCACTGTGCTGCAGCTCAGTTTCAGGGTCTTGGCAATCTTCTTATAGCTTAGGCCATCTTTATGTAGAGAAACAATTCTTTTTTTCAGATCCTCAGAGAGTTCTTTGCCATGAGGTGCCATGTTGAACTTCCAGTGACCAGTATGAAAGCATGAGAGTGATAAAACAAAAATTTAACACACCTGCTCCCCATTCACACCTTAGACCTTGTAGCACTAATGAGTCACATGACATCGGGGAGGGAAAATGGCTAATTGGGCCCAATTTGGACATTTTCACTTGGGGTTGTACTCAGTTTTGTTGCCAGTGGTTTAGACATTAATGGCTATGTGTTGAGTTATTTTGAGCAAATTTACATTGTTATACAAGCTGTACACTCACTACTTTACATTGTAGCAAAGTGTAATCTCTTCAGTGTTGTCACATGAAAAGATATAATAAAATATTTACAAAAATGTGAAGGGTGGACTCATTTCTGTGGGATACTATAACCATATGCATGTTAGCAGAATAAATTGGTTCACTTTGAGTGTTATGTAATTTTTCAGTCACTGTTTGGACGGAAAGGATTTGAGAAAGATATGTTCCAGATGTTTTCTTCAAATAAAGGCCAGAACCTCCTCTTCAATGATGGCACTCAATGCTTGATTAAATTTGATTTTCAACCAAAAGACATTATGGAGGATTACTTTGGGAAATCCTATTACACTGCAGTGTATGGAGCAAGCAGATTTGCCATATCATCAGGTATTTTAGTTTTTCTTATCCCTCACCTAAAATAACTTACAACAATTAACTATTTTCTATGTAATCCATTAAATTTATTGGTAAATTAAAACTAACCGAGGTCTGTGACATAGAAACCATATGTGGCTTGCATAATTTGAAGTCTACGAACAACTGTTATACCATTTTTGAGTTGGTGGCAGCAGGTTTGATCCTACATTGTCTTCTATTTTTCTTTGGAGACCCAGCTTTGGAGTTCCTGGCTCCACCCAACTGTCTCGGTCATTATGAAGTAGTCTCTCTCTTCTACTATGGATTTTCCATTAATTTTTTTTTTCACTTCAGCTCCAGGGTATTTTTGTCACTTTTTTGTCAAAATTAGTATTTTTTGCTACAAAATGTCTTAGAACCCCAAACATTACGTATTTTTTTTAAAGTAGAGGTCCTAGAGAATATATTGTTATTTTTTGCATTTTTTTTATATTTGTGCAGCGTTTTATCAAATGCTATTTGTTGGGGGAAAATATACTTTTTGAATTCTAGTGAAAAAAAAAAAACACATTACATAACCCAATTTTTTTGTAAAATATAAAGTTACGCTGAGTAAATAGATACCAAACATGTCACGCTTTAAAATTGCGCACACCTGTGCAACAGCGACAAACTAAGTAAATTCTACTATTCATAGGAGATGATTTAAAAGCCTTTACAGGTTTCCACTTACAGATGATGTCTAGTGCTAGAATTACTGCCCATGACCTGATGTTTGTTTGCGACGATGCTTCATGTGTGGGACTATCGCTGTGTGCGTGTGAGACTGGTGCTTTGCACGCGAGCAGAGGGGCACTTTAATTTTTTTTCTTGTTATTAAATAATTTTTTTTTTTTTTTTTTTACACTGTTGCTTTAACTTTTTTTTATCACTTTTTTTGCTGTCATGAGGAATGTAAACATCCCTTGTGACAGCAATAGACACGTGACAGGTACTTTTTTGAGGGATCTGGGATCTATAAGTTCCTGGGGTCTATTCAAAACACCAAGATTGGTGTTTTTAAATGCTTTCAGATTTTTAAAGATTATGACAATAGTTTCTGAGTAAACCAGTGATGTCAGGTCATGACTTCAAGTATACAATAAGGGAGAGCCATGACTTCAAGTATACAATAAGGGATCGGCTGTCCAGCCAGCTGGGGGATGTGTTGGCTGGTTTCTCGGGTTTCCTGGTGAGACAGGAGGTCAAGAGAGAGCCACGGAAGATGTCCAGGGGGAGTGACCCAGGGGGCGTCCCCTCTTGCTGCTTCTACAAGCAATCAAGTGGCTAGTTAGCCGCTCGGATTGCTTGTATAAGAGATCTGACTGCCGGCTCTAAAAAACTGTACTGGGGTGATGCATGCAGCTGTAGGCATCACTCCAGTATATCCACTGAAGGTCCAGCAACATACCCATACCAGAAGTGGTTATATAAACAAAGCAAATATGAAATAGCCGAAACTACATTTACACATTACTCTGGTCTCTAGAAGTGTTCTCATGACTGAACAGAAAATATCTTCCAACTAGAAGATGGGAGAGTTATGTAAGGAACGAGTAGGTATTAAGCCTTGATATATGTTACTGAACACATTCTAAAAACCCAGCCATAAAATGGTTCTTCTGCATGCAATATAGGTTTAGTGATGACTGGGTGTCATAACAAAAGTTGGTACATATGCAGTATGTTCACAGCATACATTTTAGCTGTTTTTTTTTTCCAATCAAAACGCAAACCAGAAGGGTTTTTTTTTTCCTGCCTCTAAATGTTGAGCTTAAAATATGCTTCTAATCATCCTAATGTGCATGAACACATAGGATAACACTGAGCTGCTTCTACAGGCAAAACGCAAAACTCTTGTAGAAGCAGCTATTTTTAAGCCAGTGTGCATGGTGTATTAAAAAAAATACTTTTATTTACCAACTCATACCTGACAAACCAATATATTACTAAACATAAGTTATATGTACTTTGTGCGATGCATATATAGTCGCTCATATATTGGATACAGTATTTTATACATCACCAAGAACATATGTATTAATACATGATAATAATTTATTAAAAGCTATTTATTAAAAGTGCAGGGGAATTACAAATTCAGCATACCGTCACACCACATCCCATAAAAATCACAAAGAAAACAACAAACAGAAGAATTTTTGGGGACTTTGAAGGTGTGGATTCCCACTGAATTCAAATAAATGACTGAAAACCAATTACACAGTTACCGTATATAAAAACAAAGTCTTTATTGTAAAAAATTTTGTTAAAAAAACACCCAACAGTCGCAGTATAGAACAATACATATGGATATACAGTCATGGCCAAAAATATTGGCACTCTTGCATTTCTGTCAGATAATGCTCCACTTCTCCCCAAAAATTGTTGCAATTACAAATGTTTAGGCATGTTTGTGTTAATTTATTTTGTTTATTTTGGTATGATACAAAAAAAGAAGAGAAACAAAAAGTCAAGTCTGACACATTCCACACAAAACTTCAAAAATGGAATAGACAAAATGATTTGCACCTTCTCAAAATTGTAAGAAATAACTGCATTCCAAGTTTTGTGATGCTCCTGTAATTTGTAATTAAACTCACCTGTATCAATTAACAGATCTTAATGTTCCTGTGTTCACTGTGCTGTGCACAACATTGTCAGTTTACAGCCCATGGCACTGTAGCTAATCTACAATAAGATACAAAAAAAGTCCAGCGCATACATACACATATACAAAATTGCTATGTATCAATAACACAAACAAATGTTATAATCAATAAATTAACCACTTGCCTACCGGGCACTTATACCCCCTTCCTTACCAGGCCAATTTTCAGCTTTCAGCGCTGCCGCACTTTGATTGACAATTGCGCGGTCATGCAACATTGTACCCATATGAAATTTTGATCATTTTTTTCTCACAAATAGAGCTTTCTTTTGGTGGTATTTAATCGCCACTGGGCGCTTTACTTTTTGCGCTATAAATAAAAAAAAGTGCAAAAAATTTGAAAAAAAAAAAAAAGTTTATTTGTTTCTTTTATAAAATTTTTCAAACAGGTATTTTTTCTCCTTCACTGATGTGCGTTGATGAGGCAGCACTGATGGGCACTGATAGGCGGCACTGATGGGCACTGATAGGCAGCACTAAAGGGCACTGATAGGCAGTACTAATAATGAGGTGGCACGGATAGGCGGCACTGATAGACAGCACTAATTAGGGGTCACGGATAGGCGGCACTGATATGCAGCACTGATAGGCGGCACTGATAGGTGACACTGATTATGGGTACTGATAGACGGCACTGACTGGCATCACTGCTGGGCACTGACTGGCGGCACTGACTGGCACAACCCCTGGGCACTGACTGGTCGCACTGACTGGCAGCACTGCTGGGCTGCACTGGTGGGTGGCACTGGTGGGCAGCACTGGTGGGTGGGCACAGGTGGGTGGCACTGGTGGGCACAGGTGGGTGGCACTGGTGGGCACAGGTGGGTGGGCACAGGTGGGTGGCACTGCTGGGCACATGTAGGTGGCACTTCTGGGCACAGGTAGGTGGCACTGCAGAGTGGCACAGGTGGGTGCACTGCTGGTCACAGGTGGGGGCACTGCTGGGCTCGGGTGGGCGGAGCTAGTGGGTGCACTGCTGGGGCGGAACTTGCGGGTGTCACTGCTGGGCACCGATCATCAGGGCACTTATCATCAGTGCCCTGATGATCGGTGCCGATCCCCGCTCTGACAACTGCCGGTTCTCGGCAGTACTTTCCTCACGATCTGACAGCGTGAGGAAAGTGCAGCCGAGAACCGGCACTTGCATTTCCCTGTGATCAGCGTGTCATTGGACACCGCTGATCACGTGGTAAAAGGCCGCTGTGATTGGCCTTTTACCACATCACGTGATCAGCTGTGTCCGTAGGACACAGCGATCACGGAGATCGCCGGGTGCGCGCCCCCTGGGGCGCGCAGGAGAGCGCGTTCTGGGAGGACGTCATATGACGTCCACCCAGAACTGGCCGGCGCGGTGAAGCCGTCATTCGGCTATGCGCGGTCGGCAAGAGGTTAAAGTCCCACACCATATAGTGTGCAAACAAGTCGTCCTGATGATCAAAAAATTTTCATGCAATGTGCTCGACCACCTTGTGCCTCTAATAATGCACCCCTTAATTAAAAGAAGGTCATATGCGCTTGTTTGTCCAGGGCTTTATTTCCCTGTAGGTTTCTCCTCTGTATTTCCAGATATCATCCCAATATGACATCCCTCAGAAGCGAATCATCATATACCAAAGGAGATAAATCTCATAGTGTAGTAGTTTTATTATAATAAAGCAAAGTAAAAACAAGTATGCACTTACATAATCCAGTGCCCAATATCTCGACACTAATACACTCAGTCATAATGTGTCACCGCTGCTCCGCACTGTAGAGCACTGTGTGCAGTCCAATAGCCGGAACCAGAAGTGACGTCAATCGTTAGACTCAGAAGTGTAGCTAATCTCCCTGGATGTGAATGAAAGAAAAAATACGTGATCAAAGATTGCAACAAAGGATTGTTCGAATGGTGAATAAATAACTTCAATCAAGTTCCAGACAAATTCAAGCTGACCTTCAGGCAAAGGGTTCAACTGTGTCAGCTCACACTATATGTCGCCATCTGAATGAAAAGGAACACTATGATAGGAGACCCTGGAGGACCGCACTGCTGACACAGAAACATAAAAAAGCCAGATTGAAATTTGCCAAAATTTACCTGAGGAAGCCAAAATCCTTTTGGGAGAATGTGCTGTGGGCAGATGAAACAAAATTGCAGCTTTTTGGTAAAGCCAATCATTCTACTGTTTTCAGAAAAAGCAATGAGGCCTTTAAAGAAAAGAATACAGTCCCTACAGTCAAACATGGTGCAGGTTCACTGATGTTTTGGGGTTGCTTTGCTGCTTCAGGCACTAGATGCCTTGACCGTGTGCATGGCATTATGATATCTAAAGACTACCAAAGAATTCTGGGGTGCAATTTAGGGCCCAGTGTCAGAAAGGTGGGTTCCCATCAGAGGTCATGGGTCTTATAGTAGGAAAATGACCCAAAGTACACGTTGAAAAGCACTCAGAAATGGTTTAAGACAAAGCGCTTGAGAGTACTGAACTGGCTGGCAATGAGTCCAGATCTAAATCCCATAGAGCACCTGTGGAGAGATCTCAAAACAGCAGTTGGGAAAAGGAACTCTTCAAATCTGAAAGACCTGGAGCAGTTGGCGTAAGAAGAGTGGTCCAATTGATTTCAGTTATTTTTTTGTTTACCAAATATTAAATTGAGGATGCCAATAATTTTGTCCAGTCCAGTTTTGGAGTTTTGCATGGAATGTGTCAGATTTGGCTTTTTGTTTCTCCACTTTTTTGTTTCATACCAATACAAACAAAAGAAATAATGCCTAAACATTTGTAATTGCAACAATTTTCAGGGTGAAGTGGTGCATTATTTGACAGAAATGCAGGGGTGCCAATATTTTTGGCCATTACTGTATATGAATAATTAACAGCCAAAATGGAGGTGACCTCAAGAACCAGTAATGATCTTGTATTAAATATATATATATCATTATATATATATATCATCAAATGCTGGTATCTTCATGAGGATGACCTCCTAGTCATGACATCTTTCACTAAACAGCTTCATCAGGAGATGGGAGATCACAGTGTGTATCCAGTACAATTAGAAACAAAAATAGTATACCCCCCATGTCTTGAGAGGGTTTATGTACTATACATAGCATCCGGCAAAAATAGGGAGGAGGAACCCCCAAACATGAAAAGGGAAGCCATAACAATCTGATCCACGTGGGACATAGGTGCTTCAAAAAGACAAAATGTTTGGGTGCTTCCAGATGGAATGGAGGCTTCCAAGATTGCAGACAGGCTAGTAACAGGGGCAAGTATCAGATTTTACACATGGAATCCACTCCTCCAACATATGCATACTATGAATTGGCAGATATATGAGAACTCAACTAAACAGAATATATATGATTTCACCAATTTACCAGCAGACTACAAAAACGCTGATCATTATATGTCAACACAGGAAATTAGATTAAAACTAACAATCTGAGTTCTGCCTTTCATATTCAATACATGCTCGTATTCTATTGTCGATAGATTACTAGAATTTCATCACTTTTTTTTCTTTTCACAGAACTGATATCTGCCTGCAGAGTTTAACACTGTTAGGAATATCAAGCAAACCTCTGTGCTATAACTGTCTGCCAGTTTGCCACATTGACCTTTTTTTTATCAATTTATATCAGTTCTGTTTTTCTTCTTTTTTTTTTTTTTAATAAATATTTTGCCTACCAAGAAAATTGTATTTGTGGTCTTTGTGACATACCAATAAATTGTGCTGGGATGAGGGCTGGTGCTTCCACTAGGCAAACTAGGCAGCCACCTAGGGCACACTGCCACCTAGGGGTGCCTGGGTGCTGCACAGGTTGGCACTCTCTCTGTGTGGGATGCCGTCACGTCAAGAATGATCCTTCTGCTGAGGGGAGGGGTGGCAGAGGGGGAGGAAAGAAAGACAGAGGAAGATGCCAGGTGTCTGGGGTCAGTGTAGCAGCTGAGCTGCCACTCCTTCCAGTGTTCCTCTCAGACTCAGTCCTTTACTGCAAGCTGGCTGGTGGCTGCTGATTGCTGTGGTGTTCCATCCCTTCTCTTCCCATTCATCAGCGGAGGCAGAGCTACGCTTGTGGAGGAAGGTAATGTCTGATTCTGATGTCTCCTGTCTGTGTGAAAGTGACATGACCAGCTGGGCAGCTGGCCATCCATCACATGTGAAATGTATCAGTGAGTGATGACATCAGCACGATCCCACAGCCTAGTGCCTGCTGATCTGTGTCAGTGTTGCTGTGTTCTGTTGTGTTGGATCTGTCAAGTTCAAGTGTTCTGTGTGTGTGTGTGTGTGTGGGCTGGGCTGCCTGCTGTTCCTGCGTTTTATCTCCCCCATTGCCTGGGGAATTTCAGCCTTGGATCTGTCAGAGCTATCTTATGGCACTTATTTTTGAAAATTAAAAGAAATGTAGCAGTTTCAGGTTTTGTTGATTTAATTTTTTCTACTGTTTTTACATTGTTTTTTTTTGGTGGGGGCGCAAGTAGCTGGGCTTGCTTAGGAAGCAAAATAGTCTAGCACCAGCCCTGGCTGGGATAAATTCACACCTTTCCACCTTAAGATTCTTCAGGTCATGAATTGCCTGCACTGGCCCTTCATTATACATGCCAACCAGTTACAAACCTCCCAAGATTTTTATTTTATACTGACAGGGCACAAATGTTTTCTTCACAGCTTCCGAGGTCACAGAAATTCACATTAGATGTTCAATCAAATTTATATGTCAAAATAAACCTTTTGGGAGAATAAAGTGATAAAATGGCACCAGGGGTTTCCTATATACTTCTGCTCCAGTACAGTTTGATAAGTATTTTTACTCTTTTCAGCAGCTGCATGAGGAAAATGGAGGGGATCAATTCCTCTAAATGCCACTTTGCTGCCTCTCCTATCCACCTCCTGCTGTGATCGGTGTACTCCTCCTCATGTGTACTCCCCCAACCCCCCTTCCTTATCCTCCACAGAGCTGCCGGGTTCCCCTCTCCACCTGGTTGATGAGGCTGCAGAGATGGCGATTGAGGGCTGTGTCCTCAATCTTCTTTCTCTGTCTCAAAGGTGAGGTCTGTTTAGATCCCTGATATTTCACCAAAGCCCCTCAGCAGGGCTCCTGGGCCAGACCTTCCTGCAGAGTTGTGAACACAGAAACACTTTTTTGTACCAGATCATTAGCTATTGAATAGGGTTTTATCCTTTAGCCATTTAAATCTACTATTCCAGTATATAGATTGTGCCCTTGGATGCAGTGATGCTTTCGTATCTCCTCAGAGTTCATTTGCAATGGCACTCTGCGTGGATAGTGGGGAGAAAATAAATGCCCTTTTATCTTTCAGTTTTAATGTCAGTAGTTTTTGGCTCTGCAGGCTTGCTGACTTCTCTTTTTCAACTTTATATTAAGAAGCGTTTGTGAAAAGCCCTTTCGATTTGGTTGCATTCTATTCTTTAAAAATAGGCTTCAAAAAGTGGTACACTTGTGCAAAAATTGTAAACATAGAAGTGGTATCTCTGATCCAAAAGTCCCACGCTGTCTTTCCATTGATGCCAAGGTAAGGTGGATATCCAGGCAGTTACAACTGACTATCTTAACCTTTATAAACTCTGAAATCAAAAATGTAACCTGTGCCACTCTCACATACTTTATAAATCCTAAAGCTGAACAACAACTTTCCTTTAAATATCACTGAAAAATGGGTGCACCATCAAATAAATGTGTGGTTAAACAGGTTTTGTTGTAACAATAATGAGTCTCTGCTCCACAATTCCTAAACTAACCCTCTATTAGATATAGGCAGAAACTACTAAACATGGCACTAAGGCTCCATTCACATCTGAGCATAGCGTTTTTCTGAATTTTTTTGCACATTTTGTGTGTTTTATATGCATTTGCAAGCGTTTGTGGCGATTTGTTCAGGCGTTTTCAGGCTTTTTGAGCTTTGGCGTTTTTGTATTAGCCAATAGAGAAAAATTTCATTTGTGACTTTAATTGTTGCCATGTTTTGCCATGCCGAAAAATGCTCTTGGTTGTGCGAAAGTGTGTGAAAATACATAATTTGCACGTTTCCATGTATTTCTGTGGGAATAAAAATGCGCCAAAAATGCAGCAATCTTTTGAGCTTCAAGCATTCTGCTTCAGGAGTGGAGATGTGAACCATCTCCATAGAGTAATATTGA